ACAAAGGAATAATAGAGGGCCTAGGATGGATCCCTGAGGAACCCTGTGTTTTATTGTTTTAAAATCAGAATAATAGTTTTGAGTATAAGTGTATTTACTATTGGGATAATTGAGTTTATGTTGAATTTGGACACATTGTTGCCGATTTTTTAAATAAGAAGAAAACCACTTGTGCTCCTTATTATCAATATTGAAACTATAAAGAACATCAAGCAGCTTATCATGAGTCACACTGTCGAATGCCTTTGAAAAATCAAGGAAGATCCCAATTACTTTTTCATTTTTGTTGATTGAGTTTATAATCGATTCAATAAAGTTTATTCCAGCAGTAATCGTAGATTTACCAGGGCGAAAACCATGTTGTTCATTGTCAAACAACAGATTACTTTCTAAAAAGTTTAGCAGTTGGTTATACACCACTTTTTCTAAAATCTTTGAAAAAACCGGTAATAATGATACTGGTCTATAGCTCGAAGGTTCGAATGCATCCCCCTTTTTATAGACTGGCACAATTTTAGCAATTTTTAATTTACAAGGAAAATGGCCGGAAATTAAAGAAGAATTAATAATATGGGTTAATGGTTTTGAGATAAGTGGGAAAGCCTGTTTAACTACAGCAACTGGAATTTCATCTATACCTGTTGAAAGTTTATTGGTTAAGGACCTTATTATTTTTTCAACATCTCTTTCATCAACCTGCTTGAATTTGAAGTAGCTTGTGGGTTTAGGTGGATCATCAAAGTTACATTGTTGAAGTTTATTGTTGTTGATGTTTGGAAGAACTAAGTTATCAATTACATTTATAAAATAATCATTTATTACATTTCCAACCAAAACAGGATCCGACTCAGGCTTACCATTTGATCTGATTTGCATGTTACTTTTTGGTTTTGTTTTGTTGTTAATCTCAGAATTGATTATTTTCCAAGTTGATTTAACTATGTTTGTAGCTTCTGAAATCTTTTTATCAAAATATTTTTTTTTCTCATTTATTAAATCAAACTTTAACTCTTTTTTTAACTGTTTAATTTTGTGTTTAGTGTCATCATTTTTAAATAATCTGTATTGTTTTTCAAGCTCCACAATGTTCAGTTTTTTTCTTTTAATGTCAAGAGATATCCATGGATTTTTGTTGTTAATCTTTTGAGTTTTTAACGTTTTAGGAAAGCTATTTTCAAAGGTGTGTAAAAAAATTTAATGGAAAGTGTCATACTTTGTTTCTACTGTTGCTTGGTAAACTTCATGCCAGTTAACTTTTGCCAATAGTGTAAGGAATATGTTTGTATTAGTATCCGAAAAGCTTCTTGTATAAACTTTGTTTACACAGTTCTTACAACTATTTACATCAACCATTTCAAACAACTGTGCATCATGATCAGAAATGCATGTTATAATACCAGATATTTTTAATTTCTTATCCTTAATATTAGTTATAATGTTGTCTATGGCACTTTCTGTTTCTGAGGTAATTCTAGTGGGAAAATCTACTTTGTATTCCATATTATAAGATTTTAGAACATTCACAAAGGATTTGTAGGTTTTATCTTTGTTTAAAACATTAATATTAATATCTCCAGCTATAACAATATTTTTGAAATTTTTACTCAACAGATTACACATTAAATCCAGTTTATCTAAGAAAGTGCGGCTGAAGCAAGTAATTGGGGATCTATACAAACAAACTAATACAAATTTATAGGTATTTACAATAATTTCAGATATGCAACACTCAAACTCCTTTTCAACAATAAGATCTTGTATAGCAGGAATTTTAATACTTTTACTTTTTATGCTATCTTTGACTAAAATTAAAACTCCTCCTCCCAGAAAATGTTTTCTCGTGAAAAATGAACATTGTTTATAGTTTTGGATATGTAGGGACAAAATTTCGGATTCAATCATCTTGTGTTCTGATATTGCTACTATATCAGGCTGTATTTCTTCCAAATTAATTTTTATTATATTTAATCGAGAGGACAGATGTTGAACATTCTGATGTAGTATTTTTAAAGTTGTTTGAGTGTTGCTATTTTTTGTATTAACTAAAAAGCTTTGTTTACATGCAGAATATTTTTCTTTGTCATGATTATTTAGTTTAAATCACAACTCAGAACGCTCACTCCACTGACACTATATTGCCCATGATTTTGAACACTTACACTTGACACAGATGTTGGTGGTGAAGGTACAGTTGAAGTCTGAAGCTCGAGAGGGACTACTCCTGTGGGTGGACATGGGCTTCCTGGACTGTTGCAGGTCTTGGCAACAGCTTGATAGGTTTGGCACTTCGCAGGAACTCGCTGTGGAGTGGACCATCCTCTCCAAGGGGAAGTTTCTGAACTGATAGAAATATTCGTTGAAGATGATGCTGGGGTCTGATTATTCGGTTGATTAGCTGAAGGAGTTTGTGGATGCTCTACTCTTGATAGTTGGAGATTGGCTGTGTTAGCTGAACGTAAAAGGTCTTGAAGTTTATTTTTGAACTCCCAATGTGAGAGACCATTTCTCAGTGACTTATTTTTTGTTGCTTCGTTAAACAGGACAATGTAAACTTCAGCACCTGTGGATCTTTGGAACTGTAAGATATTATTAATAAAATTATTAGGTGTTATCTTATCTCTTGTACAACCCATTGGGGTACATATTAATCTTCTTAGTCCTTTTAGTCTGAAATCCTCTATCAGGTGATTGAAGGACATATCATAGTCTTGTAGAGATGGTTTGGAATTGTAGGTGGGTTTTGTCACAAGGCCATATGTCATAGCCCCCCATTCAAGCGCTGACATGCCAGATGATCACTAACTAAATCTGCTTCTGAAGGACTTCCCAGATGAACTTTGAAGACTTTTGCTACACCAGCAGACATGTGTCGATCACTCTCAAAGTCGCGCGAAATACAATGACCAAAAGCATTAGTTCCTTCAGAATGAAATTGTTTTATTATGTCATTCATATTAGCTTCAATAATTTTTATTGGGATGTTGTCCTCTCTAATTGCTGTCTTTTCTTGAAGATTGGAATCATCAGTCTCTTTCATGATTGACGGTTTGTTGGAATGTATCCTGATGTTTGGCAGAAGATTTTTCATTATTTTTGATACTATTATATTTTTACCAATATTGTTGAAGTGGATTCCGGATTTCTCAAAGCATTTTCTAGAGAAACCTGTTAGGTCCAGGAAATTTACTCCCTTGAGTATGTGGCAGATTTCATGAACAAATAAGTTATAGTTCATTATGTTTTCATTTATCTGGTCAGAAAGGAGAAGATCGTGCCTAAAAGGAACACTAGCTACAGTCACCTTACAAGGTTTCAAGGATGTTACGAGTGATTTTAATTTTTTGCATAATGACTCAGTTTGTCCATTATAAATATTATTTGCCCCAGCAATAAGTACGACATGGTTGTTTTGCGTACGCACAACATGTTGAGATTCCTCTATGATGCGATCTATCACTGCACCTGGCCTTATAATACTATTAATTTCAATATTTTGATCAAACTTGTCTTTCAAAAGCTGGTCAATCCTCCTTCCATGGCTGTCACTTAGAATAGTAATAATTTGCCTTGTTGTTTTTTGTTTGAGACATGTATTTTCTTTTTGTTTCTTGGTTTTTTTTATTTGACCATGTAGTTGATATTTATAGCTATGTTAAAAAGTCCTTTCTAGCCGATGTTCAGTGGTCAAAAAAAGATTTACTATATCTTTTTCGACAATCACACCTGAAAAGGAGCAAAAAGCTCCAAAACTAGTGATCTGGTGTGGTTAACAGAGGATTGACAATGACACTCCAGGTTTATAAGCATTTATAAAATTCTGGTACATTGTGAATTGATAAAAACAAGTTGATGGAAGGTCATTTTTTCCTTTCTAGCAAATTTCCCACATAGGGAATAAGCTATTACCGTAGTACTCATGGTAAGACCTGGACTCGGGACCAATTTACTTTTTCGTTTTGAGGTCCCTAGAGGCCAAAAACTCCATCCGTTCAAATTCATCTATCCTATATATATATATATATATATATGTCCATTAGCAAATTTGGTTCAAACGTGTAAACCTACATTTATTCGAACGAGTTCGCGAACCAGCATGATCGGACTATGGGAACGGGGGTTTATGGGGGGTCGTATGGGGTAAAAATAGGTTTTTCCCATTTTTGACCCTAAAAACACTGAATTTCACAGTTTCTTTCAAACCATTTTGTAGAGCTTAAAAAAACAAATAATTTAGCATATTGAACCATTACTACATGCGCCTAATGGTTACAGAGAAAATTCCAAAAAATTGTAAATTTAAAATTCTCATGTTATTCTTATGGAGAATAAGTCATGTGTTGTAGTTTGCTTGTTTATGAACATATTTTGATCAAATTTAAAAAATACATTAATTTCTTACTAAACTACAGTATTAACATTTTACAACAAAAAACACTTTTTTACCCTCCCTGTTGCAGCAAACCTAAGTACTCGTTGAACTAATTTAATTTAAATAGGGTATAATGTGATGTTTTTAAGGAGACATTTTAGTGTAGATCCAATCAGGCAAATGGATATTCGCTAAGTCTGCAGGTTAGCTGCAGCGGGGATATTTAAACCGTGTCCTCACCCATTGCAAATGCAAAGCATGAGTATAACTGCAATATTAGAATTGTATACTTATACGGCAACCCCGAACAAAGGATGGGTACTCTGCTGGTCAACATTTATAAAAGAGGTATTATGTATGTATGAATGTATGTGTGAGAATAAATAAACTGTTGTAGTTTACTTGTTTATGGATATAGTTTAACCAAATTTGGAAATGGCGGGGGTTTTTATTATTTATCGTAAAGAACAAATTACCATTTAAAATAATAGTGGTTAGTAGTGGACCGGGTAACTGCTAGTTAAAGATAAGAAAACTAATTAATATTATACTATCTGATGTACCCAACTGTACAATTGATGAGATAAAGATGATATGATGAATGATGATGATGATGGTGATATGATATTACCTGTAAATGAACCCTGGTCAACCCCTTGCGGTTGGAGAACTCAAAGTTGCTGCGCATGAGCAGGTAGAGTATAGCACAAGACTCCTGACGTATGGCTGACAGTCGACTGTTGCAGCATCTCAGAAGCTCCAGACATAGTCTGCCACACAACACTGCGTTACCTGTCACAAGTATACAACCATGGATCAGATTGGACAATGCCTACACGCCAGGTGAAGAGTACTGAATGGATGATATCATAGCCTGATACTGATTTTTATTTTTACCAGCTTCCCATGATGAAGTGGAAGTTCATCTCTATCCTTGATAAGATAATGTACTGTAACAGTTTACTTCCGATTAACTGAGGTTGTTGGGACAGAGACTACCTCGGTTACCGAAAATCTCGGATAACACGGAGGTATCTTAGATTTTGAGGTTAGGGGTTACGGTACCACCTCAGGAAGTAAAAGACTTGTAGTAAAGTATGTTTTAATAACATGCATAGTTAATACAAAATTATCAATAATTTGTATTTTGATGGAAATTTATGCCTATGAAACCCTAAAACAGTACAGTATTATTAAATTATGCACAGAATTAAATAAAAACCCAATAAGGTGGACTCCTACAGTTTGTTAAGTATAAAATTAATTTTTGTTTGAGTTTGACTTGAACTATATTTGACACAATCTTGTCAATATTCAAACATTGTAATAGGGGTGTGCGATGCATCGAAAATGCATCGAAACTTCGATTTAATTCGATTCGATGCATCAAATCGTGATTCGATTCAGCATGCATCGAAATCACGCATCGATTAAGTCCCGATGCAACGATTAAGTCCCGATGCATATTTAAAACTAATTTAGGACTCCAAAATGAGTTTTAGATAGGGAAGTGTCAATTATCGCTACCACCGATACTCGGACATTGCCGATACTAGGAATATCGGTATCAAGAATCGATTGCCAAACGTCGATTTCGCCCGATTCCGCCAATACCGACACCCGACAGGGATGGATAGATATTTTATTGTAACATTTATTTATTTGATAGCTATTAGTTTTGTAATCACGCTAACAATTTTAGTAACCAACTTAGAACACTATTTAGTTCAAAACAGCTAAAGTTTAGCTTCAGCTGTAATGATATTGCACAACACAATACAATCTACATTTCAAGATGTCAGACAGTCATAATTCAGTCTCAGACAACCGGCGCGCGAGTGTCCTCAACATGAAATTATACAAAAAAATGTCTGTATCAATAAGTCAGACCTTTAAATGTGTTATTTTTATTTTTAGAATAAAATAAATAACCTATACTTGTCTAAATGCTTAGTTTCATCGCTGCATTACGCATCATTAGAAAAATTTGATTCAAATACAAACAACATCGACGAAGTCAGAGGGTTAGGCTTGCACTTGCCTATTGCACCAAAAAAGTAGATCCGTATTATCTGTACTATCTACCTAGTTTAAGAGCTTAAGTGAAGTTTTAAGTGCTACTATAACATGAGTATTGATTGAAAAACACCATACGCATACTCCATGTCGATTTTGTAATATTATAATGAATGGTGAATGTTGACTATCTAAGATGATAAATCAAAGTATGTAACAAGAGTTCTCATTGGTCGAGAGGCCACGCTGCACTGTCATGTCAGCCAATCGACGTTCGTGTTTCAATGGAGCAAATGACGATTGCTTTGATGTCGTTATTTGTGTGTGAGTCTATTATTGTGGGAAGGGTTTAGATAAGATACATTGATAAATATCGAGAACCGTTATGTAGGACGTGTTTGTTTATAAAGAGTATAAAATTGGGTTAGAGTTTAAAACCGTGTGATTTTCTTTTGTCTTACAAAGACCTAGATTTGACGTTCAATTATGTTAGTAAACTAAATCTTGACATATGGCTTTATATAATATTTTAATAAAACATAAATTTTTCCGATTATATATCAATATGAATATTTTTGGCTCAAAACATCAATTGTTCCAATCGATCGTTGTAGCATAGACTAACCAACACAAGGCAGTAGGCTATGTTTTATATATGGTTGTAGTTACGTCGTACCCGGCTGGTTCACAGTGAATCCACTCTGCCCAGCCTTGTTCTTGGTATCATCAGGAACATAAACACATTTGTTACTAATTTAAACTATGGAATGTTTGTTAAAAGCACCAGAAGAAACATATTTTGCTGCACAGTGCACACGATTCTTTTACACTGTAAGCTATTATTTTATATTGTCGCATAGTTGCACATTAACTTATTGAAATTAATTGCATCAAACGTGCAGTCTTTTCTCTTTTATCAAGGAGATTTAAGTACCAAACAAAACTAATCTTTCTTTTCTTGAAGGCTAAATTAAAAGATATATTTACATATGAAAGTAAAGAAATAAAAAAACTGACAAATGGCTGATAAAATTCTGATAAGCCCATTTATAAATTGGAGCAAAGTTTATCAGATCTATGCTTTAGTCATTGAATTCAAACATTTATTTTAAAATTAACACTCTGAAACTTTTGTTTAGTAGAATTATTCAAGCGACTGAGGGTGAGGGAGGGCATGTGAACCAGACTTTACAAAGGGCATGTCTGCCATTCTTACAAACTTTCTCTTTTCCTAACCCTTGTCCCGTTAGACAGGGGAGGTGGTGCTTCACTTCACAGCACACTAAACACCCGCAGTTCGCAATCGCTATCGCAGTAGAGTTGAGTTGTTGTGGTAGTGACGTAATTCTGTCGTCTGCTCTTCACAGCTGACTCATAAGCGGCTTTCGTGAAATTATAATTGATACCTAATTTTTTTTGATAGTCACTAAACAAATGATGGCCTCCTCACCCTGTTCAAGGGAAAAAGTTGAGAATTAAAATTTTTGTAAAATGTGGTTTGTTTTATTATTTTGTATTGAAAAGATATCGTAATTTATTAATGTGTTTTCAGCTAGACTTAGTGACTTATTTTCATAGTTTAACAAATGTTTAAGATATAAATAGTGAGAAAATGACATTATAGATTATTTAAGTTCTAATTAATAACTATTATCTTTTTGGTAGAATACATATCCTTCTGTAAGAATTATTGCGTTACCAATTTCTTAAAATCAAAAATTGAAATATAAATCAGATATCATGCCTGGTCTGATATGTATATGCCTACATTTTTGATTATGTCTTAACTAACATTAGTCTCCTGTACCTTGGAACAGGGCCAGAGAGAAGTTGTTGATGAAGGCTCTGAGAGCTGCAAACACGTGACGGAACAGTGTTTCCGACTGTCCGACCTGGAGAAAGCTGAGGTAGAGGTCAAACACAGCCTTCATCACGGGATTGTCACCGTCATCCACCATCAGAGAGTCCCTGAAGTGCTGACAGTAGAGGCCGAGGGAGTCTAGCGCAATGAGACCCACCTCTGTAGCCAAGTTGGCCTCTAGCAGAGCCTGGTAGAGGGTGCTGGACTCATTCTCTATTGATAACAAAACCATAGGTTAAAGTGAAATAGAATATTCATCAAAAGGATGGTAGTTTCTTTTTGAGTATTTCTTGTATAGAATGACCAAACTTTTCATAAAAACTCTGCTTTCTTTTGTCTTAACTTTCTTAAATTATTAATAATAGACTCTCTTTGATTCCTAGGGAATCAGCTTGAAAACTTACACTGTAATATGAGAGCTTAGCTTTGAAACCTTTTTACATTGGTAAAACTATATTATTTATATTTGTTTTGTGGTAGTGTATGTGTATTGTGTGTGTTGGTATTGTACCTTAACTGTATGTACAATGCAGTACACCCCCCCCCTCCCCATGGAGCTCTTTATTTCTCCCCAACACCTGTGAGTTTCAAGCAGCAAATGTCACTTTCGTGTGATTGAATCAGTCAGTCATCAGAAATGCAGCGACTGACGCCTGTCATGTGACAAGTAATTAACTGGGATACTATACTTTAAACATCAACTACCTACTATAACCTCCAACCAAGTGTTGACATTCTAGACTTTTGACACAAGATCTACTTCTTACTCCAGCTTGTTTTTTTCACAAGTGAAAAGTACAATAACAAATAGATGACATTTTTCAACCGGTTTTTTGTGATTCAATCAGATGGTAGACAAATAATTGTAATATGTTCATATTGACACAATATTTACTTTCCTCCTACAGAAGAAAAATTCTGGCAGAAGAAAACTGACATAAAGCCGCCAGTTCTACTGAAGACACTGTCCTCTACAAGAACACTGTTCAATGGTTACTCATACAAAGATTTTATTCACAAACTGAGAGACTCCATCTCTGAACAATATCAACAGAAGGTGTTCGATGAGTCATCTCACATAACCATAAACTGTGGTCAAGAAACCATCAAAACTCGTGAAGAGGATGCAGTGAGCGAACATCAGCCTGTCTCACCTACCACGACCAGCCCCCCCCCCCCCCCCCCCACAGTCCCTGGAGTCCTTGACTACAGTGAAGTAGTGAAAATGTGTGATCGTGTTAGTGGTGAAAAGCAGAGCACTAGTGAAATCAGTAACGTCTATAGTACAAATCATTATAGTGTGTCAGTGTCTTCCGATACCATAAGTCATAGAAATACGCATTTTTTGTCTCAGAGTCCTCACCATTCACCCCCTCCGGACGTCCTTTAACTATTCCATCTACGATTACCCTACCACCTTATCACATATCCTACATAACTGGACCACCTAATCAACCACCTAGAAACCACTTCTCTCAAAGTCCACCTCAAAAATGTAATTATCAAAATAAGTCTATAGTTAAATTATTCCATCAGAAAATTGAACATTTGAAATCCAAAATTGAGGCTTTGCAAATAACTTTGAATGAAATAAAAGCACATATTGTTATCTTGACAGAACATGATATGAAAGAGGAAGAAATTGAGCGCTTAAATATAGAATACTATTCTGTAGGGTCATATTTTACTCGGAAGCTGTCACGCAAAGGTGGAGTAATGTTACTATCTACCAATGAAATGAAACAAAAAATAGTTACAATTCCTGACTCTTTGAAAAATAAATTAATAGAAGAAAAACAGTTTGAATTTTGTATATGTAAATATTTAATTAACAATTTTGAAATAGTAGTTGTAGCAGTTTACAGATCCCCTAAGTCAAAAGCTGAAATATTTTTAGACAGATTAACTGTACTTTTAGAATTTCTGAACAATAAGTTTAAGTGTATCATTGTTGCAGGAGATATTAATATAGATGTGCTTGTTAAATCTAAGGAACACACTATGTTAAAAAATATGCTAAAAAGGGTAAATATGGAGTACTTGGTAAAATTTCCCACTAGGATCTCTAAAATATCAAAAACAGCAATTGACAACTTCCTTGTCACAAAGTCTCAAAGCAGCCTCATGAAAATAAACGGCATAATAACCTTATTGTCTGACCATGATGGTCAATGCTTAGAAATAGCTTTGCCAAAATCGAAATCTGTAAGGGAAAATTTTATTTTCCGGGACCAAAGAGTTTTTAGTGAAGAAAACATTAATCTGTTTAAAAAATTTCTATCAGATGAGTCATGGGTTGAAGTAATTCTTTCGCTGGCTAAAGATAAATACAATAATTTTCTAGACAGTTTCATGTACCACTTTAATACAGCTTTTCCTATGAAAAGAATAAAAAAGAAAACAACACAAAAAAACAATTGGATTTCCCTACAACTTAAAGAAGAAAAGAGTGCACTAGTTAAACTAACACGGGAAAGCAGAAGTAAAAAAGATAACAATTTGACAGAAATGTTAAAGCAAAGATCTTTGAATTACAAAAAAAATGTTAAAAAGGCAAAAAGAGATTATTTTGACAGTAAAATAAAAAAATCAAATAATGTAAATAAAACAGTTTGGAATATTATAAATTCGGAAGTGGGAAACAAAATCCATAAAAATAATCAAAATATTAATTTAGTTCATAATGGAAAACATTACTGTAACCCAACAGATGTATCAAATATATTTAATGATTTCTTTGTAAATGTGGTAAAAAATAACATTGATTTATCTCAAATAAACAATTGTACAGATAGTAATGATGTAATATTAGATTCTGCCAAATGGGAAATGAAACCAATGTTTAGATTAAGAGAGGTGGGAGTATTAGAAATAGAAGAAATGATCAGTTCCCTTAAAAATAGGCTAAGAGTTCGAGTGGGTATGATGAAATCTCTATATTTTTGTTAAAATCCATTAAAAATGAAATCAGCTATATTTTAAGTCATCTCATAAACTCATCATTTGTCTCAGGAGTCTTCCCGGATAAATTAAAAATTGCAAAAATTATCCCATTACATAAAAAAAATGATGTTAAAAATCCGTCAAATTATCGCCCATTATCCTTGTTACCAACATTTTCTAAAATTTATGAAAAAGCAGTCTACATTCAATTAACAGAATTTCTAGTTAAGAACCACTTAATAGATGACATTCAGCATGGTTTCTGCTGTGGAAAATCGGTAATTACTGCAAGTATTGCTTTCATAGAATCAATAATTGACTCAATTGATGCTGGAGACCCGTGCATTGGTTTATTCATGGATCTGTCAGGCATTTGATAGTGTAAATCATACATTACTTATTAGTAAATTAAAATCTCTGGGGATGGTCAAATCTACATTAGATTGGTTTTGTTCATACCTTGAAAATAGATTCCAGTTTGTCCAATTAACTAGTTGTTCTGATAATAGAATTTCAAATCATAAATCACAATTAAAAAAAGTACGATTCGGAGTTCCTCAAGGATCAATTTTAGGGCCCCTTCTTTTCATATGCTATCTAAAAAATATATCAACTTCACTATCAAACCCTGAGAAAAGCAGTATATGTTTATACGCCGATGATACTAACCTAAAAATCTCAGATAAAACAATAGAACAAATTGAAATTTTGTCTTTCCTAGAATTAGAAAATATTGTTCAATTTTTCAAAAATCATAATTTACAGCTAAATGTTAAAAAAACAAATTATATATCATTTAAAACAGCTCAGTCAAAAACCACAGCAGAACCTGTTGTTATGATTGATTCCGAACCTATTGAACAAATTTTTAGCACAAAATTTCTCGGTCTACTAATAGATGGCAACCTAAATTGGAATGAACATGTGGACAAAATCATATCAAAAATTAATTCAGGTTTATGTGCCTTGAGAAAAATGGCAGATTTATGTAGTCAATCAACACTCAAACTAATATACCATTCCTATATACATTCCCATATATCATTTGGCATCTGTCTTTATGGCTCCACCAAACAAGAAAATCTTGACAAAATTCAAAAATTACAAAAAAAAGCAATTCGGATCATTAAAAATCTTCATCAAGAAGTATCCTGTAGAGAGCATTTCAAAAATCTTCAAATTATTACAGTTTATGGACAGTATATTTTTGATACAATTATGGTTTACAAAACTTTGAATTCAAGCAAGCCATTAATAAACCATCCAACTCACCCATACAATACCAGAAATAAATCGGAAATCATACCCACTCATCACAGATTGCAACTCTACACAAAAAAAACCATCATATGCAGGAGCAAAGTTTTTAAGAACTTTACCTAAAGAAATAAAAAAAGAAAATAATGTTAATAAATTTAAAATTAAGTTAAAAAATTATATTACATCAAATCCTATTTATTCAATTGAGGAGTATAACCAGTTGTAAATATGTATTATAAGCCCTGTTAGCTATAAGGAAATGACACTATTCAGTTGTATGACTCATGTACACATTATGAATAAAGATTGATTTGATTTGATTTGATTTGACAATCGGTTTAACTGTAGGTTTTGTCTCGACAGCCACAAAAGTGAACGATGTGGGGTTTTCAGGAAAGTATCCCAGAGATGGAATATGATTGTCGAAAGGAAACTATGTTTATTCTGCTTTCAGCGTCACCAGCTTCAAAAATGTAAAGTAAAAAAGGTTTGTGGAATAAATGGATGCAGGTTGTTTCATCATCGTCTTCTCCATACTGACAAAATTGAAAGGTTTCCCAGACAGGACAATGGATCGCAAAATAAAGAAATTATCAGCAGTCATTTTGTTAATAACCGTATGATTTTGTTTACTTTTGTCATGTCTTTATTAAATTGCAAATACAGTCCTTTTTTATTTGTAATAGTATGACAATATTTCTACAACAAAAACTTGGTTAAAACAAGATCATTTGAACACATTTTGCTGCCTGTAAACTTTTACTTTCTGTAACTTTTGCTAGTTATCTTTGCCTCAATGTTTGTCCCCTCAAAACTTTATCAATTCTTACCAACTTAATCATCCGAATATATATTCTCGGTTTTGTTAAGGTACTAGTCACTAAATTTCTATAATTTTATAGAAAAACGGTAACTTTAAACTTTTATTTATAAAAGTTGGCAATAGAAACAGTAGACCTTTTTAGATGTATAGAAAGTATAGCTTCAAATCGAGTTGTATCGGTTCAAATCGAAAATCTTTTAAATCAAATCGTTGCTTTGAATCAATATATTTTGCTGCTTCGCACACCCCTACAGTAGGAGACCTGTTATTGTTTAAGATAGATCGTTTTACTTGGTTAAACGAGGTTTGAAATGGCAAGAAATAACAAGAAACAAATTCTAAACAAAACAGGATCCCTACAGTGCGCCGTACAGAACTAACAATAAAACTGGCTTCAGCTGTTCCGTAAGGATGAGAAATCTACCAAGGCAGTATGTTTTATCGATGGCCTAACTAACAAGATACTTTGGATTTGCACTCTCCAACCCTGACTCACCTCTGTGTGCCATGTTCTCACGGCCGACGCTGTTGCTGCCACTGAGTGTGTTGTGGGGAGGCAGTATAGGGGAGTCACCAGAGAAGTCCGGGGGCTGCATGCGGGCAGGCAATGTCATAGCCTTAGTAGTTCCCTTGCCTGGTGGACCACTACCACCGTTGACATACCCAGCGATCTGCCGCCGACCCGTGTACTTGAACTCATGGAGACTCAGTCTACAAACACAATTCAACATACTACAATTGAACAATACTAAATGTTAATAATTTTGGAGTAACAATTTTTTTTTACACATTTTAGATTTTGTTGGTTACAGTGACATTGTTACTTTAAAATTATAGATACTTCTAGCAATAGGAAAAGTAAACTAGTTAAGTTACATACATATAAATAAACTCACTCAATAACTTTGAAGAAGCTCAATATATCCGCTTGAGAGCAGTTTTGCCACCACGAGATCATCTGGTCGTGGCTGATGTGTTTGAGGATGAACAGAAAGCAGACAAGGATGTCCTTGACCTCCACTGGCTGTAGTCTGTCACACCTCACCACCTGAGTACCACTGACAGATCTACCAACATAACAAAACATTGGCTACTACACCACGATATCATCTGGTCATGGCTGATGTGTTTGAGGATGAACAGAAAGCAGACAAGGATGTCCTTGACCTCCACTGGCTGTAGTCTGTCACACCTCACCACCTGAGTACCACTGACAGATCTGGCAACATAACAAAACATTGGCTACTACACCACGTTATCATCTGGTCATGCTGTCACACCTCACCACCTGAGTACCACTGACAGATCTACCAACATAACAAAACATTGGCTACTACACCACGATATCATCTGGTCATGGCTGATGTGTTTGAGGATGAACAGAAAGCAGACAAGGATGTCCTTGACCTCCATTGGCTGTAGTCTGTCACACCTCACCACCTGAGTTCCACTGACAGATCTACCAACATAACAAAACATTGGCTATGACACCACGAGATCATCTGGTCATGACATATGTATTTGAGGATGAACAGAAAGCAGACAAGGATGTCCTTGACCTCCATTGGCTGTAGTCTGTCACACCTCACCACCTGAGTACTGACAAATCTACCAACATAACAAAACATTGGCTACGACACCACGAGATCATCTGGTCATGACATATGTGTTTGAGGAAGAACAGAAAGCAGACAAGGATGTCCTTGACCTCCATTGGCTGTAGTCTGTCACACCTCACTACCTGAGTACCACTGACAGATCTACCAACATAACAAAACATTGGCTATGACACCACGAGATCATCTGGTCATGACTGATGTGTTTGATGACATCAGCAGCTACACCAAATAATAGTTATCGTCATCGCTATTACAGTTTATAGCTTGAAGGTATCCATAATTTCTTTGATGGGTTGCTATTAGTCACTCTTGGCTGTACACATCCTTGCCTTCAGATCTGAAAAATGCCCATTCAATCCTAAGAAGGGTTGATTTTGTACTCAGATGCTATTTTTCATTGAGCTATCAATTACATTGATACTATCTATTAAAATATTCATGTTAGATAGTAACAAGACCAGAGTGGCGTACCGTGAGTGGCGGGATGATGCCGGAGTACAGTCTGGGCGCTGTATAGCTGTCTCTTGACTCACAGTAGAGGTGCCATCACCAGACATAGATGAAGCCTCTGAGTCCAGGCTGCCAGACGACCCAGCTCCGTTCAACAAACCTGCCGTAGTGAAATAATAGTTAGTTTAAAGGTTGGGTACAATTAATATTGAGTTGAATGATCAACTGATTAGGTTATAAAATTAAAAACTTAAAAGCATACTCATGGATTAAGAATTCAGATTTCAGTTCTTAGATAGTTGTTTATTTTATATTATCAGTCATTAAATTCATAAACTGTAACTATGAATTTGAAATAAAGAACTCAAATGTAAGATGTATGAAGGCTTTCATAAAGTGTTTCTACCATCAGTAACTTCATGATTTCTCAGTTACTTTACAAAATCTCTCGACCACAAATTACTGATGGTGATGGACGACAAATACTGTACTGCATTGTATTAAACAACTATATCCATGTATCGGCAGAGATAAACGTGATTAAAGGGATATTGCAAGTTGTGTGCAAACCTTGGCCAGCAATTGCAGCGAAGTACGTAGAGTCCCTGATGTGCAGGTTGACAGATGCCCGCGCACCGCCTGGCCCTCCGCGGATGAAGGATTGGTGTTGTGGCGTGCTGATGCTGCTGTTGCTGAGACTGCTGCTCTTGGCTGTCTGGTGCTGTTGGCTGGCAGACACTACACTGAGCCTCTGCAGGTTCATCAGTACTAGACTCAGCCACGGCACGTACAGTGTGGCTATACGAGCCAACTGACCCTGGGGACCAACAGAGGTCAGTCTGGATTAGGAGTATAAGCAGGTCTAGTGTCTACAGGTACAAACTATAGGTTGCAACAAAAATTGCCAGATGAAATGTAATATATGAAAGTGAATAAAATATGGAAAAAAGAAACAGCTACAAAACTAACTTATCTAACAAAAGTCGTTCAATCAGTTGAAAATACACAAAAGTTTCACAACTCTGTTAATTTGATTTTCCACTACTACAAGGGGGCTTTTTAAGAAAGGATTAGTAGAATGGGAGCTAAAAACTGGGTACTCTATGGATTGTCTAAATCACTCTCTTCAACTTTGTATCACGCAACATTCCCAAGAACAATCTGAATCTCTGAACACTGATCGAAATTCAAAAGGAAAACATAAAATAGGATAACATGGATAATATAAAAATTTAAACTATAAAACATATCTGCTGGGGTGAAAAAAATGAACAAGAATAGAAACAAAAGTCTTAGTTCAGAATTGTTGAGGGTTATAAAAAATAACCTATGTCACCATAGCTCTAATTGAAAATGGTTTTTAAATGTTCTTTACAATGTTTTTATATTGTTTTTAATGTGCATACAAAACAAACAGGAACTAAAAATTAAAATTTGCTGAAAATTATGATGTGATTCAGTTTTAGTTTCACAAAGAAAAAGTTAAGATGGCAAACAATTATTGCCTTGACTATAATTATATCTAGAACTACATCACTCCAATCACCTTGTTCTGGTACCGATCGTCCAGTTCGTGTTTGGCCACAAGGTCGCGCAGTACAGTGATGGCTGGACGACGCACACACACCATGTGTGACAGAGCTGCACGCACTTCCTGTAGCAGCAAACCTACCAGGAAGTGTTGCCTACAGAACTCCTCCGTCAGCGTGAACTCTTCTGCAACAAGATAACGAGCTGTGGAGCCGTCACACGGCAGACATTAGTGGACTGCGACTACATCAAACAAGCTCAACTAAAAGCAAACTAAAGCTAACTGTGTTGAAGAAGAAATCAAATCTGTAATAAAGTGTTGGGTATGCTAAAAGTGAGTTGGTTATTCAAACTAATATTTCTATGTGTGGGAAACTAGGTGAGTTCTGGATAAAGCGTGCAATAGGCCAAATGAACAACAATGGACATAACATTATATGGCTTTTCATAAAATAAGTTACCACAAATTACATTTATCAATATACGGAATTTGTTTAAGAAGGGGTAGAGTTCAGCTAGCTTACCTGAGAAAATTTGTGTTCAGATAAACAACAAATGGTCACAATATATAACATTGATATTTAGTTGTGAGTAGATTAAAGAGTTATGCATATCAGTAGACAGTCAGATGAGGGTCCTAGACTACCAGAGATGAATACAGAAAAATCAATGTAAACTATTCGCAACATATGAATTTTACAGTGTAAAACATGGATTTTACAACAAAAGCATAATTTGGAGTGGATTGGTTTATCCAATATGTTTTTTGTTGCATTGGGTTTCTGTTTCTGTATAACTGGGTTTTTTGTCTAGCACCCCTATCTTACCTCTCACTAAAATAAATTATATTGTCATTCTTGTTAAATGCAAAAGGTATAATGTGTGTTAGTTCAAATGAAACTACAGTAAAAGCCCTCATATCCAACCATAACCAGACCAGGATATGGTCGGAATGGCCAAAAGGTTGGATATTGGGAGTTGTTTATGCAGAGGTCGCATGAGAGGGGTTTTACTGTATAAATAAATTAAATATAACTCTTGTAAAATGAAATATACTGGTTGCGGCAATCCTGATTGGAAAACTACCGATAAAATAGACGAAAAAAGTCTTGACATGCTAAGGTGTAACTCACCAGTACGGATGAGCAGAGGCAGGTTGAAGGAGATGTAATGTTCATGGGTTGTGATGATCTGTAGAAACGCAAGCTTGAGGTCATGAAGGCCCCGAGCCTCAGCACCAGTGAAGCAGGCAATATGACAGTTTATCATGCGGAACACAAAACCACGATCGAGAAATGTCAGGCATTTCTGCAACATCACAGAGAAGTTATGATTATACATGGACCTAATGCCATTACTACAACAGAGACAGGCAATAAGCTATCCAATAGTAAGTTTTAATTTTAAGTTAATTTAATTTTAAGTGTGTTACATAGAATAAGGGGAAATTTACTCAAATGAAAAGAATCTGAAAAATGACACATTCTGTTTTGTGAAATGTTACCTTATGTATCATTATCTCCTGTATAACATGAAAGTTTACCTTAAGGAAGTCAGCGATGTTTGAGTTGAGTTTCAGCATTTCTTGAGGCATGTCTCTATACTTGGCAGATAGGTAGGGAGTCAACACATTCAATAAGGACTCCACCTTTTTCAAGAAATCTGTGGAAAATCTTTCATTGCGGTGCATCTAAAAAGTATAAACAAATATCTAAATTAACTTAACCACTTCAATACATAGTAAACATAAGAATATTTTTATAAATGTTGACAATCACCAAGTGTGCATACTTATAAATTAGTTATTGCAATGCAAACCATTCAGTTTTATCCATCGCCAATTACAGTACAAACTACATAGAAAACTATGAGGGTTAGTAAAATTAGATTTTCTTAAATTATACATTGACTTCTCATTAGAGTTTGTGCTACAGAAAACCAATATCCAAACATATTTAAGGAGATTAAGAGATTAATTTTAAAATTAAGGTTCAGTTACTGTGAGAAGTTGTGTCGTCACATTTTTACAGCTTTCATAACTCTTTAAGTAAGACTTATAAATCTATTGGTGCCAAAAAGTGCCATTCATTACTAATAACCAAGGTTTATATGTAATTGTATGTAAAAGGGAAGCAAATGTTAAACTGCCTAACCTTGATCCTCCCAGTGGTCAACAGATGTTGAGCCATGCTTTTTACAATTATTTGGAAGAAAAACCCGGAATGTGGTAGAAACTTGTTGACCAGAAGGAAGTCTGTGTTTTCTGGCTTGAGCAGATCCGGCAGATGACTACAGAGTTCTTCATGGACAGTTCGTGAGGCTACAGTCTCTCCAGCAAACACAAACTGAAACAGGAAAACACAATGAGAACAATGGAATGGGTAAAGTAACTGACATCTTCAACTGTTCAGACATTGAGAATAAAATTGGCCTTGAAGAAATAATGCTGACATATGGGGAGTCTGACAAAAGCCTGACACAGTTACTGTACCACAGTGTCTGTGTAAATCAATAACCTAATTTGGAAATAACTACAATTTGTTTGTTTTGTTATAACCTTAACTCAAACCTTGACATAGGTGGAGAGAATATCAGCTCTGCCAGCCTCCTGTACTAGATGGACCAGATGGATCAATAGACGGATGATGTTCAATCCTACGTCAGGACTGGGTGACAGCACTAACAGGCTAAACAGCTGGTTAAGCAGAGTGGGCAGGAACTCTATGGCTGTGTTCAGATGAATAGCATGGGTGGCCTGAAACAATCATAATACATAATTCATATTTAAAATTCATTTATTGAGTTAAAGTTTTTATAAAAACCTCAATTAACTTGGTGCAACAGAAATACAAAAAGGCACCACAAGATGTTTACGTAGTCCGCAATAATGTCATAGGTTTAATGGAGAAAATCAAGACAGATATACAGATATTTGAATTTTTTATTGTCAATGCCAGTGACATCCCATTCAGATATGCCTACTATCCCGACAATAATTCCTAAACCTAGGCCGTTGTGCTGTACGTTACATACATCATTATATGATTCTTACTCATTCATTTGGATTGTATTTAGCTATTTTTGAAAATATTCCAAAGTAAAGAAAACTATGTGACTAAACTTATCGCACTATTTACCTAAAAAAAACAATGAACGAAGAAACAAATTAAAGTCCTATAAGAACCCTACTAGGTACTTAAAGGGTAAAAGAATTGTCTCTAAAAATCCTGAAAGTCTTAATGCAAATCTAAATTTAAGCGGCGCAGCAAAATTACATTCCGACATAAGTACATGTTTATAATGTTACAGATTTTTCTTTGGGAAATCGAACCAGGGATATTTAAGAATAATTTCCAAAGTTGCAATAAACTCCTTTAGTGAGAGCCATCTTAGGTTTTTTGAAGTATAAAAGAATTGTCCAAACAGAAACCCTCAAACTCTTCATCAAAAGCTCAATTCAATAGGTGCACAAAAATAGACACGGACATGACTAAATTTACACAAATAGATTATTCTTTAAAAATTCCAACCCGAATATTCTTAAAAATTTTCTCAAATCCAAAGTTACAATCTTATTCACAAGACCTTGAGTATTTTGCAGGTCTCTGTCTCAGGGGGAGGACTAGCCCCAGTTTTGGGTTCGTGTAGTCTCTCTGCGTGTGCAAACAAGTTTTGCAGATGTTGATCTCGGGTGTACACAGTGGAGCACAGCTGGAAACTGACACTGAATATTGGCTTCTGGTTGTCCACCCATGTCATCTCTGGTCCTGCATACTGTAACACACAATAGTTAATTGCAACATGCCGAAAAGTCGTTTACTGAACAATATTTCTGATCGGTTTTATCTGTAGCTATTAAAGAGTGCATTTTAGTTACAAGGTGGATAAATGTTACAGTCTAGTTCCCAGCAAGAGAATAGGCCAGTCGATTCATTATCATTATGAGATGGGGATGCCACTTAGGTGCATATATCATTGTGAGATGATCTGTGTACTTTTTTACTGACTAATATCAGCTGCATCATCAGTCAGAATCATTAATTTTAAATATATATATTTTTTTTTTTACTTTTCAAGAACTGAAACAGAGATACAATTCAAATTCCTTACAACTGCTACTCGAAAACAATGACGAACATTATATGTAGGCCTACAATACAAAAACAATCTGAGTACCATTAGTCTTTACAAAACAACATGAAACATTGCGGAAGTAATGTGAATACCACATCTCTACTATAATTACCAAAATGAAACAGTAAACTTTTTTACAAGATGATCAAACTAATTAGATATACAATTTTTCTAAAAGAGTATTCACCTACCCCTTTCCCGAGTCCCAGAGGCTGCACCGACAGGTAACCAGGAGGAAGATTAGCTGCGACTGGGATGGTTTGGTCTTCCACATTGAGTCTGAAATATGCACAATACTTGTTATAAAAAACAAATAAACTAATTATAAAGTATGAAGTATAAAGTATTTCAGTTATACAGCATTCATTTGCAAATCGTTGACGAATTACCTTCCTTTCTGCAGTAGAGGTATCCAAGCGTATCCAACAGTGTTCTCAGGTCCTGTCTCCCGTTTCTTGGACCCCTCTATTGATATGTGTGTGAAGGTGAACAGCAGGTGGTGGTGGATGGTCAGCTTGGCTGGCAGACGTAGTTTGATCTCATCATACCAGGCAGGGTTGGTGGTGTGGTGCAGAACACAACAGGTAGCACTGCTGACTAGCAGACCATTGCGTCCGTAGATACACTATGACAAACATTTGTGCACTCAATCATCAATATCAGGGTGAGTAATCTGCAAAGTTTTGTTACTGACTAAGATTAAGATTGGTTTTGTTCAAGGAAAGGCTCTAGGCCAGGATTTTGAATTGTAGAAAAAGGAGGATAGCAGCTAGCTTACCTTGAAAGTGTAGGTAGGCCATAGAACAAGTAGAAAAACACTGTGCATACAATATTTCGTCCCCTAAGGGACTTAATCAAGTGTAGAGAAAGAGTTTATAAACTCTTTTTCTACACTTGACTAAGTGTTCTATGGCCTACCTACACTTTCAAAGTAAGCTAGCTGCTATCCTCCTTTTTCTACAATTTAAGATTAAGATTGGATGTTTCTTTGGGAAGGACCATTTATTACAAACCAAATGAAGAAGGAGAGCTGGGTCCTGTTTCAAACCATCAAAAAGCTACAAACTGGTTTTTAGTGTCCTAAAAGATTTCAATGTTCTTCTGATTGTTAGGAGAGTTAATGGCCACTCAGATACAAAGCTAATTGTGTTATGACAGCTGAATGAGATCCTTAAAATACATTATTTAGGACGGCCAAGTTAATTTCAATAGAAACCTAATTATGTTAATATAAAATATCTTTCTACAAATCATATTTAATCATAATATACATCATTGGCATAAATTGGGTATTATGAAGTCTTTGACTGAATACTGGACATATTTAAACAGTAAAAATATATTTAAATTTTAAAAATAACGATATCTGAACACAAGTTTTAGAAAATATATTCATGAGAACATCAGAGTGAAAAGCAAAGACGAAACAGAATTAGAAACAAAGATAAAACGATAGTTTGGATACGACAGAGCAAAACTAGAAAACGCCAGAATGGTAAGACTATAGTGGTTTGGTCTTGTAAACAGGATGAATGAAGGAAGAGTGGCTGGAATCTAGCTCAAAGAAGAATTAATGGAAAGAGGAAAGTTAGGGTTTATGAAAAAAAGGAAAGACATGATAAAAATACCATTAATGCTGAAAGTAAAACATTTTAGAGGGAGAGGAGGAGCTTTAGTTGTGGAAGTTTTAATTTTGGAGCTTGTTTGTGTAGGAGACAAATGGACGAGGATTATCAGCATTTAGTACATCTAGGCAAATGAGGCTACTTAATAAACAATTAAACGTGTACTGGTGAAATTACCTGCTGTCAAGTGATCCTTGTGTCCTTTCAATCCTCACGGGATCATCTTCAGGCGGACGTTGTCATTGTATTTTCATTTTTGCGAAATTGAGATTTACAGTTTTACAACACTTAAAACACTTAACACAAAACACCAAAAATTGCCAATAACCTTTTTTGTTTTTGGCCAATTTTGTGTTTTGTATTAGGTGTTTTAAGTGTTGTAAAACTGTAAATCTCAATGTTTTTTTAAAAAACGACCTGTTCACAAGAACGGAAAGACAATGACGACGTTTGCCTGAAGATGATCCCATGAGGATCGAAACCGGTCGCCTTTCAAGGTCACAAGAATCACTTGACAGCAGGTAATATCACCAGTACACGTATTGATCAGTGATTCGGAGGCTTAACTCAAACAATGATTAAGGTTATAACTGATGAATTAATTACTTTAAGACAGTCCTCGACTTACTACTATATAAAACAGATCACATCACAATGCCTACCGTTACGCTCTTTGCATTCTCAGAATCATCGTCCCGCAACTGCACAGTGCATGCGATGTTGCGTGCGCGAGTGAACATCTTCTGCGTGTCGAAGGCGAGGCTCTGCGGGTAAACGTACAGGTGGTTGAGGTAGGAAGTGAAGGGCTGAGGCTCCGGACATAGCTCTGCCACCTCTACAGTCACCTCACTGTTGGGAGAGGCACTGAATGGCTTCAGAGGGGACAGAGAACAAGTCAGGCAATCTGCAACATCAACAACACTGTCAATCAAGTGTGTTGCTGTCACAAATAAAACTGTTTTTAAGAACAACTTTGATTGTAAACTGACTGTTCTTGCTAACGACCGGTAATGTATTTCTGTGACACACATACAAAAGACAAAATGTATTTTTTCTAATGTGTATCTATATTTTCACCATCAGCACATGTAATGTATTTCCTGAAATGAGATGTTTTACAATGGCATTCCGCCAAAACATGTAACACCTTGATTGTTATGATTTGACCTGCTGACAGGTATTGTAAAACTCATGGTAAATTTATAGTACTATCAACACAGTGAGCGGTTGAAATTACACCCATAGAGCATAAGAATAACTAAGGTTGTATTTTCTTATTTTCATCTGTTGACAGCAGCTGTAGAAATTTCTAATATAAAAGGAATGTCCACAATTTGCTTGTAAAATTATTTAATATTGTTGGAACCTGTTGTGAGAATTAATCAATTATAGCTTATAGACAGGTATAAACTGTAAATGGATTATTTCTCAGGACGAGCATTCTTAGCCTAATTGTGTTCAAACGGTATTTATGTTACTACTAGCTGTAACCCGCGGGCTTTGCCCCGTTTAACTTCTTAATTTTCAAGATGATCTCGTTCGCATGGCTCAATCACGTCCTGCTTGAAGTTCGTTCGCTACGCTCACTCACCTTTAGGTTGGAGCTCGTTCGCTACGCTCACTTGCCTTCAGGTTAGCTCGTTCGCTATGCTAACTCGCCTCCAGGTTGAAGTTTGTTCGCTACGCTCACTCACCTTTTGGTTGCAAATTAGCTGTTGTCATAAATGTAAAAGAAATAATAGTGCTGCACCCTGTTGGTAATCCTTGTAACTTTAATGCTATTGAACATCATAGAACAGAACCAACTTTTTTAATTGAAACAGCTGTTAAGATTCATTAATTCCATTTCTCATAAGGTTAACATGGGAAACTCCAGAGCCACTGGGGCGGAGCCGATTGGACGGATCGCGAAATTGATGGTGTATAAACCTATTCCATGACATTCTACACGTATGTACTAAGTTTCATGGCAATCGGTTCAGCGGTGTCTGAGTTTATCACTGCCAAACAAATATACAAACATCCTCTTTTATACTTATAGATAATAAACCAATCAAGAAATGAACAAACTAAATGGATTCCTGGATAGGCTATTTGAACATTTCTTCATTAAAAAAATATGTTTTAAACAACGATCATAAGTGATGGTATAGACTACAATACAAACACTGCTAGATTTTATGGCAATATGGAACATACACACCCCACACAAAATATATTACGAGTGCATGTTTCCTTAACTAGTTAAGAGAGATTGAAATGTTTCAACAAGAGTACTCACTTTCTGGGAGCTCAGTGAGGGCTTCTATCCTGATGTGAACCCACCCTGGAATTGTTGTCAGCTTATTTAACTTGTCTGGTCTGAAAAATGTTAACACTTGTGTAAATTATTTTATTCTATAAAGATATGGAATGATTTTCAATTAACTAAGCTACTATGATTTGACCAGAAACAAACCTACAGTAGACTCAACAAGTTGATTAGAATTAGCTGCTGATTAACCACGATTCCAACAAAAAAAAACTAAAAATATATTATGCAAGTTGAAAAAATGTTATATAGCAACAACCAAGACTTATGGTGTGAGGGAGGCCATCATCTCGCAAGCTACTGAGACTACTGAGTTGCTGTTGATTACTTCACCGACCATGGATCACTCACATATTACAACTGATGAGTTGATAATCTAGATAGTGAGTGTTTTAATTTTTGTTATTGCATAAATAGGCTCTCTAATATTTTTTTAAATTTTTTTTTTAATAACAAAACAAAATTAAGGGGCATCTTCACAGTGTTTTAAATGTTTTATTATTACATAAAACTATATGAAAGCTTAACAATACCTTAAAACTCAATAATAGTTGTTTCCCTGATATTTTAGATAAGATTTGCATTATCCAAGGTTTTTTATCAGCCAATATTTTCTACGGGTAGAACTAAGGCTGGATATCAAGGGCTCTATTGTATCAAACAATTTGTGAAATCCCTTAAATGAGAGCATACAAAAAAAACTCACTTTCTATATTCAGCCAATATTTTTAACAGTTCTTCATCCTTTAATTTCCCAGCTTCTTGACGATAAATGGCTGGGAAATCTGAGGATGTGTCAAGTTCATTACTGTACAGGCGGAACAGAGGTCGGGCAGTCCAAGCAAACGGCATTCGGTATTTACCCAACCTAGAACATACATACTTCATTATCAAACACCTCATTGTTTACTCTAAAACTCAGAGCTATTGTATTATACTGGATTGGTTAATTGTATTGGTGATGGGCCGATTCCAGAATTGGTCGATTCCGATACCGATTCTGATTCCAGAACTTTGGTTTCGATTCTCGATTCCGCACTCGATACCGATACCTGTTATAAATTCATTTTATAACACATATATGTGTGCTTCTCACGATCCCTATAAATAAAGGAGCATGTTATTTTTATTTAATCTTAATACAAACATAACTGCATTTCTATTAAATAAGGTTACATAGATTTTGTTAGCCTATAAGGAAAATAAGATACTTCAAGAAGACATACATTTTAACATATCTTAAAAAAAACTAAATTGAAACAAAACCACCGGTTTAGGTAGGCCTAAAATTTTCACTGAGTTTTTTGTTTGCATAAACATTCACACATCTGGGCCTACATTGAATGTTCCATATTGCTTGAGTTATAAACTCAAAGTCAATACAGTATCAAAGTCATCTTCAATATTGTCAAATCAATATCACTTAAATTACTTAAAGAATCACATAAAAGTCATGGAGTTCATCACATCACTGGACAGAGATCATAGCCCATTTTTTTTTTACAATTCAATACGCACCACGCATAGCAATCAACAACAAAACATAAACAATTCACCATTTGCAGATACAGATACAATTAAGTTAAGTCTTTTAAGAAAAGAGTTACAGTTATTATCACACAAACAGTTCATAAGACAGTTAATTGACTTAATATTTCACCCCTCCAAGAGGGTCATTTCTGAAGCAGTGACTTTTCATGTGCTATTAACTGCCTGGAACTATTTTTTTTTTAGTTGAGTTAGTTTAGTATATATGTTCTTTCTACCTTAGAGTACCCCAAAGTAAAGGTGTTTTTTCTCTTCAAATTGTACCTTTCCCTATCTGACACCACTGATAAGGAGAAAACAAATAAAATGTTATTATTAAAAATACACAAATTATTAAATATTAAACAAAATAAATTATACCTCCAGTAAAAAGATTTGATTCCAAAAAAAGGGGAAAAAAGACAAACTTTGAAGGAAGGTAACATGATAGAGCACAATGTTGTGATGACAAATAGCCAAAGCGTAAAATTTAATTTAGCATTTATGAAGGATGAAGGATTAAGCAAATAAGGATTAAGGATGAAGCAATTAGTCTTATAAAAGACATTGAGCCGTATTAATAAAGAAGAGGTAAACCTTTTACTTGCGAAAATTCGAGCAAATCCTTCTATCTGTATTAATAAAAACTCAAGCAAAACCTTTTACTTAAAAAGGAAAAGGTAATCTATAGAAAGTTGAGGTTTTGCTCATGACTTAAGTAAATGGTTATTAATAAAACTGACCATTTACTTTTTCTTTGAAGTAAATCCTTCAAAAATTATGCATCTGATCAGTAGCAGATTATACGTTTAAGTAAAAGGTGTGTGGTGGTTTTACAGAGTGGTGCTAAATTTTAGCGAATTTCCTAAATAGGGAAAAAGCTATTCCGTAGGTCTCATGGTAAGACCTAGACTTATGACCCATTTACTTTTCCGTTTTCAGGTCCCCAGAGGCCAAAAACCTCCTCCGTTCAAATTCATATATATGTGTGCTCGTTAGCACGATAACTCGAGCAAAGGTGATCCGATTTTGATTAAATTTGGTGCAAACGTGTAAACCTACGTTTATTCTAAGGGATTCACGAATCAGCATAATAGGATATGGAAACGGGGGTTTATGGGCGGTTTTATGGGGTAGGCCTAATTGGATTTTAACATTTTTTAACATAAAAACATAGAATTTAAAAACTTCTTTCCAAGCCATTTTGTAGAGTTAAAAAAAAACTATTAATTTAGTATATCGAAGCGATATTATGCGTCTAATGGCTACGGAGAAAATTTAAAAAATCGTAAATTTAAAATTTCTATGTTATTTTAATGGAGAAATTTTAAACTGTTGTAGTTTTCTTGTTTATGAGCATTTTTTTTATCAAATTTGCATTCATTTCATACTAAACTATTACATAAGAAAAAAAACACCTTTTTACCCTCCCTGTAGCAGTTAACCTAAGTACTCAGTTAAACTAAAGCTATTTAAGTAGGGAATGAATGTGATATTGGAGACATTTTAGTGTACATCCAAGCAGGCAAATGGAAATTTACTTAGTCTACAGGTTTGCTGTGGCGGGAGTATTTTGTTTACCTCCTACTAAGCTATCAACATTTCAATAAAAACACACCTCAATACCTTCCTTGAATCAGCAAACCTAGGCACTCATTAAAATTAATATTATTTAAATAGGAAATAAATCTGACAATTTTCAGGGAATATTTTAGAAGAAATCCAGCCAGGTAAAAGGAAATTTATTTAGTCTGCAGCTGCGGCGAGGGTTCCTGTGGTTATACAGTACTGCATGCTATCTACAAAGCATATATGATGATTGCTATAAACAAATTTATTATGTACCCAACTAACTATTATCATCTACCAAATTCTATGTCTAGAAAGGGGTTAAGATTATGGGGTCCCAAAATCCGGGGTAAAATTCCGGCCCACACACTCTAGATTTTATAATTTAGTTTGCTATGATTCAATTCAAAGCCGGATGCGAAACCATTACACGGAGTTGGCACAGTTAAGCCTTCGAGGGGTATCTGTAGACAAAAATAGACAGGATCAGACGTGTAACATGTGATGTTCCTAAAGAACCATTTACTTCCGAGCAGAAGGATTTGCTCGGAAGTAAAAGGTAATCATTATTAATACGGTTTGAAGGATATGCTTTTACTTTTACCTTTTCCTAGAAGCAAATGCTTTTGCTTCATACCTTTTCCTTTTGAGCATATCCTTCTTTTTATTAATACGGCTCATTACCTCTGGGCGCAGGCCTTGACTGCCTTGTGGACTTTGAGGCCGAGTTTGGGGTCCTTGGTGGAGCGGAGATAAGGCTCTGTCACCTGACTGATGCTACCTTGTAGGATCTTGTCTATCCTCAGCACAATATAGATGTCAGAGTGGGGCTTGCTGACACTGAACACTGCCTGCAAGTCACATATAGTATCATCAGAACATCTCACATGAAAATATCATCATCGGAATACCTTACAAGAAAATTACATCATCAGAACATGTCACTAATAATGTTCACCGATGGAACATTTCACAAACAAATCTTATCAACAGCTGATCTCACAAACATATTTAACACAAAAAATAACAATTACAGAACGTACAAAGTTTCCAAAATATGGATAGGGAATGAGTGAACTCAGTCATTTATTACATAGTCTTAACCTAATTAACTAGCTTGTGATAATCTACTGATTGAGAAAGACGTGGATACGGTGGCTCTGGCTTAAAGTTAGACAAGTAATATGAACCTTACCTGTCTGGGCCGTAAGGGACCCGGTAACAAATCACCCAGGATGTTCTCAGAAGTTCCCTCAGGATCAGCCAACAGTCCGACAACTATGTTGTGATTAATATCCACATGGAAATCCTCGGTCAGCTTGCGGCCTTCCTTGGCGTCATACAGGGCCAAGGTCGTCAGGTAAGGCTCCAACTGTTCAATCAGACTAATTCATTACAGTTTCTTGACGGGAAAGAAACTCACACCAGCATGAGAGTTTTCCTTCAACTTTACAAAAAATATAGTAATTATTAAAAAAAATTATGGTAAGTTGACTTCAAAACAAGTATCCTCTAACTCTATCCTGTAATAATAATTGTGAAAATGTTTAGGTGTTTTTTATAGAATCTAACTTAAAGTTGAAAGTCCATATTGATTGTACTGTTAAACAACTTAACAAAGGGATATTTATGATAAACATGCTTAAGAACGGTGTAGATTTTAATACCGTGAAATGCATTTACTATTCACATATACATTCCCATCTAAGTTATGGAATAATTGTATGGGGAGGTAGTAATTATAAAAAAAAACTTTTGTCATTGCAAAAACGAGCTTTAAAAAGCATGTACAATGTTAATTTTAGTACACACAGTAAACCATTATTTAGGGAGGCTAATATTTTAACTGTACAAGCAATGTATATTGTAGACTGCCTTGTGTTTGCAAAAAATAGTTTTAGTAAAACAGACACACATGAAAATGTACACAGTTACAACACACGAAACTGCTGCAATTTTATATCTAGACAGTGTCGATACAGCACTACAGCTACTAGTTTTATTGAAAAGTCCAAACAGTATTATAATATGTTACCTTATAGAATTAGATGTTTTAATTGTTCTAAATTTAAAATAGTACTTAAAAACTACCTGTTAAACCTGTGCTCATATGAAGAAATAGACTTCATAAATGATGTTAAATTAAACCTTAGTTAAAATCTTAGTTTTAAGACATTTCCTTGACTGTGCCATGCATGTAAACCAGTGTAACGGCAATAAAGCATTCTTATTCTTATTCTTGCTAGGTTAGATTAACTCGCCTGACACAGTATCTCTCTGTCGCCGTTGATGGGTGCCTGCAGACGGAACTTGAGGTTCTCACACCTGACTAGCAGTCGCTGACCGAAGTGTTCCCGGTACGGCTCTACGCTTGCTTCTCCCAGCTGACTTGACCCTGCCTTCGACAACTGCAACACAACACCAGTGTCATATTACTGACAACAAGTTTTAAATGATGATATCAAAACGACAAATACTAAATAGATACAGCAAAATGATATAAACACAAAACACTTTAAGTAATAACTCTGATTGACTGAAGAACAGTAGGGCCTACTGCTCCCAATTGTTTGAAAAATCAAAGGTGAAATGTGATTTTTTTATACTTGTGAACAATGTACAATTTATCTCTTTTGGTTTCACAAATGTCATTGGTACACTTATGTCTCAAACATAAGCTCCCTGATTACTATTATTAAATAAATATATAGGATGGAGAGGACACAGTTAACTCACCTGATGAAAGGTTGCAGACGAGTCAAAGAACACATAAAACACACACATAATAATACTTGATATTTCGCTGCTTTCAGAGGCTTCTTCAGAAGTAGGCCTAGATGGCCACTATGATTACTATTACTGTGATAAAAAAAACAGCACACTAAATAGCCTAGCATTTTCTAAACCTATTAATGCTGTAACTAAAACTGTGAAAAGTTTACATTTGGAGATATAGGTTACACATGTGATTGGAACACCTATTAGACTTTCTTTGCGCAATCAAAAAATAACTTAGGCCTATTGAAGATCCTTGATTAGTACTAAACAGGAAAACACTACTTAATACTGAGTGGATATAACAAAGGTTCTCGTTTTCTAAATTACTGTTACTGGTTTGGTATGGACTCTAGATCCACTTACCTTTTATTGTGACATTAGTTACACTTTTGAACACATCACTCTTTGATATTACAATTTTAAAATATAAAAGACTAGAGTTCCGACCAGCATGAAACTGTCAATGGTAAGTAAAAACGCAAAATAAAACAAAACATCTTACAAATTATATAGTGCATAAGCAAATTCAATAACATAATGTAAATAGAATCTTTTTGTGTTAATTTTAAATACTTTTTAGCCACATTGGAGTACACTGATAAAGGTATGATCGTGTAATGTTATAATCATTTTACTCACAGGCATGAATGGATACACACTGAACAGCCTTCTGCGGTTGTCTTTCCTCGCCAAAGCTATGGAAGAGTCAGTTTCTCTAGCATATTTCATCAGCTGAGGATTGACGCTCTGCTCCAAGCCCTTCAGTGTTCCATACAGAGGTACTATTGTTGCTGACGGTGTGGCAGTACTGGCTGAAAATACAACAATCGATGACGGATATAGCTAAACCACATTGTAATTGTTTATTTGGACATTACAAAACAGAAAACCAAACTGGTCATTGTTATTGATATTGATATTAATATGCATCTTCATATTACAATCACTATTTACACTCTCCTCTTAAAACTAATGCAAGTTATGTTGAATAGTAGGTCTAGTATTTTCAACTTAGCTTGGTAATAAAAGTTTATTGCAGTCAACAAATCTTTTTAGCACTTTTAATTATTTCCCTATTACAAACACAAGAATAAACAACATAATGGTAATAGAAACAAAATTAGAAAAATAACTGATATAAAAATTGGCATTTTAAGACACAAATTTACATAATAGTACTGCAGTGCATACTTCTGTAAATCGAGATCTAAAAATCTATAATCTATCTTCTATCTTCTATTATGCTAATTCCATAAGGAATTTCTCTTGTACAGCAAAACTCTTTTATTTATGAACCGATTTTGATGATTAAGGTGAAGGGAATTCTCTGTAGAAGTCATGGAATAACATTAAAAAGGTTTAAATACCTGCTATCAAGCAATCCATTTAATTGCAGTTGCAACTAGTTTCGACTCCTATGTGAAGTCATCATCAGGCGGTGCAAGGACTTCTTTCTTCACATGAAGAGCGTCATATTTAACACGTAAAAATAAATAAACATTTACACACGGCACAAAACACGTTACGGACACAAAACATTTACTGATCCGTTACAACAACAGACGACGCTAATGGATTGCTTGATAGCAGGTATTTAATTATACCTTTTTAATATTATTTGGCAATCCGGAGGCTACTATCCATCATGGAATAACTTTTGTCACGCTCAGTTCAATGTACTTTTCTCCATTAGTCTTAAAAGTTTTCATGTATTTTAAGTATATAAGTCAAAATTTTTTAAGATTATGTAACATATGATTCATTTCTTAAAAGAAAACATCTGTCTTCATAAAAATAGACTTTTAATATTTACTTTTTCCGTTTAACCATCAGTTTACTTCAGGCAAAACAAATATTGAAAAAATAATTTATCCTAAATTTACATATCACTTTTTAATTGCTTGTTTAACATACGTAGAGTGATTTTCCCGATTGTTTTATTTGTTTTAGTGTATCAAAACATAAAACAAACATTAGTACTAGTACTACCGGTACATTTCAAGTTCCTAGGTTTCATATGTTTTGATAAGTAGTATTAAACTGTTAAAAATGACGAGCTGCTACACTGCATTTTTCAATGGATAGTATCGGGGAATATCACTGCTCTAAGTAATTTTATACAGTAAGTAGTTCAAATCATTCGATATACCTGAAAAAAAATCTATAAGTATAAAAGAGGATGTTTGTATATATATTTGTTTGTTTGTTTGGCAGTGATAAACTCAGACACCGCTGAACCGATTGCCACGAAACTTGGTACATACGTGTAGAATGTCATGGAATAGGTTTATACACCATCAATTTCGTGATCCGTCTAATCGGCTCCGCCCCAGTGGCTCTGGAGTTTCCCATGTTAACCTTATGAGAAATGGAATTAATGAATCTTAACAGCTGTTTCAATTAAACAAGTTGGTTCTGTTCTATGATGTTCAATAGCATTAAAGTTACAAGGATTACCAACAGGGTGCAGCACTATTATTTCTTTTACATTTATGACAACAGCTAATTTGCAACCAAAAGGTGAGTGAGCGTAGCGAACGAATTTCAACCTGGAGGCGAGTTAGCGTAGCGAACGAGCTAACCTGAAGGCAAGTGAGCGTAGCGAACGAGCTAACCTGAAGGCAAGTGAGCGCAGCGAACGAGCTCCAACCTAAAGGTGAGTGAGCGTAGCGAACGAGCTCCAACCTAAAGGTGAGTGACGTAGTGAACGAACTTCAACCAGGACGTGATTGAGCCATGCGAACGAGATCATCTTGAAAATTAAGAAGTTAAACGGGGCAAAGCCCGCGGGATTATAAATAGTCAAAGGCAAGACAACGTCTGCCGGGTTCAGCTAGTACTTTATACAAGTTTTAAAATAATTATCAGCTGTTTCTATGAATTTCTCTAACATTTAAATTAATTGAGATTCAATCGCAGCTGGTCCTTCTTTTGTTTTCATTTTAATCCCATGTTATTTAAATGGACCAAAACGTACTTTGAGGGCTTGCCAAGGGTTTATGGGTCAACGCAATGACTTGAGACCCTCAAAAGGCACATCTACACGTTAAGGGCTTTCAAACAACATAAAAAACATTAAAATTGAGTCAGTGGTTTGGGCTGTAGGTCCGTCAACATTCAAGGAGAAGAAGAAGGAGAACAAGGAAAATTTGTGAATTTTCAAACTAGTTTTTCTTGGCTCAAACACAACGGTTTTTTTATATTTTTTTTTATTTTGTTGAGAATGAGTGCCCCTATCCAGTAGATGAACAATTATTTTAATAGCTTTTTGTTTCTTCAGAGCTATAGACAAGTAAAAAAACCACTTTGTCACGTCATGTATATATACACTAGAGGTGTGCGGATATCCGAAAAATCGGGTCGGATTCGGTTCGGTTCGGATATCCGTATCCGAACCGAGCCCAAATTCGATATCCGACACTATCCGTCATATATCCGACTTTTTCGGATAGACAATATATTTTGACGTTTTGGACAGAAAACCTCCATAACCACCATTAGTTTCCCAGGACAAAATTACAGCAATACGTTTCCAACGACCTAACAGCAAACGGCAAAGAAGCCGTATGATGCAATACTGATAACTAGTTTAGTCGTTATCGGCTGTTTTGCTCTACGATTAGATTCGTCTGGAACGAACAGACATAAAGCAGAAAAGAACTACCATGGTCAAATGAAAGTCAACTCGTGCTTGTCTTGCTCCTGATACTAGGGGCGCTGCGTAATAGTTTTTTTACAGTACTGTTTCAAAGTAGAAAAATCTAGCCTACTACTGTGATGTTACGTAAACAATAGATTAAATGTTTCCCGAAAAAAAGTCAGAATAGAAACAATAGAAAGGCAACACAATAGAAGGGTGGGAGGGGTTGGGCAATAACCTCGAAAGGAGCGCGGGTAGTGAGTCAAGTAGGACCGGAGGGGGAAGGGGTGGGTAAGACCTTGAAGCTATATATAGACTTGCACTACTTCCCTAAACCGAAAGGACTGGCCGGCGAGTGGTATTCCAATCACAGGACAAGATAGTTGTTTTTTGGGTATTCATTGCCCGGTTTGACTTTGGATTGTCTTACTGTGTAGAAACTTTGAATAATAAAAAATAAAGTTAGAACTAACCACGATTATTTAGCATTTATTGTGTACATATTAAATGATTAAACGATAGGGACCATGGATATATACAAACTTTTGTCGTGATTTTAATTTCAACATCAAAATACAATATTGCACAATCGTGATATTTTAGGTCATTGACCTTTATTATGCATCCGGTATTGCTGTTTCAGAAGAGAAGCAGTTGATAAATTATAAATTGATATTCCCGTAGTTAAAAAGAATTATTTTATAAACCTATAAAACAAAATCATAAAATCTTACATAAAGATAACAAAAAATAACGGAAATTGTAAAAAGGGAATAAAGATAACAACGTCATTATTCTTTCTCTTTGTTCTTCTATTTCTTGGGTTTCCCTTATCACGCATTCAACGTCGTTATCAGCTTTTATGACATAGCGCACAGCAGGGGGTAAAACACTGAGTGCAGCCGAGCGGCACTAATGAGGGTCGGACCTTCTTGGGGGTGAACAATAGACGGCTTATCAGACCCTCCCCTCCCCTCCCCCGTGGTCTGGAGAAAGCTTGTAAACAAACTATTGCACAAGCGCGCGTGACTTGACATTGGGCTGCTTCAATTATAATTTTGTCAAATGAACTGTGATGTTTCAAAATCAAAAACAATAATTTGGGACCATACTGCTTAACAATAATGGACTGCAATTATTGTTGAACATACAATTCATTTTTAACAAACTAAGATTATACGATTCAAATACAATTATAAAGATTATCTTGGTATTTTACTTGGGGTAATGAAGTTATGTCTAGGCTAGTGTAATTCTTGGTTCATCAAGGTTCTACTGAATTATGTTTGGCAGTGAATATGTGTAGAATGCAATTTATAAATTCAGGGATACACACCTTTTACACAGTTATAAAGTCTAATTGCCCAACATCAAATCGTGAGCTAGAGCCAATTTAGTGCATTAGTGATTCTACATTTGGCAAACCCACAAAATGCCACTTAAGCCCAATAATCCGTTCCAAAAACGTAAGGAAATACAATGTGAAAATAAACTTGAGATCGAACTCCTTGGCTTGTGAGAACCAGGAAACAAGATAAATCATAACCTCAAGTAAACAAGCCCAAACGTTTGACACCAGTCCTGCTGAGCTAAGGTGTTTGTGAAGATTTCGGCTGCTAGTGTACTTAATTCAAGCAACCAACTTTTGAAAATAAATGTTGTGAATTGTGATTTTCATGTTTTACACATTACATTGTTATTACATTGTGATTACATTGTTTTATAGGTTAAAAATACATATGCAGCTTATTATTAACCGGGCCGAACTATCCGAATCCGAACCTCCCAATATCCGATCCGATCCGAACCGAGCCTCAACTATCCGATCCGAAATGAAATTTCATTATCCGCACACCTCTAAAAATTATAAGAGAGAGAAAACTGTGGACTTAGCTAATTTGAAATTCTATAGTTCAAAATCGTCATTTAAGTTTATTTACACAGCTTTACATTGTTTTGTAGGTTAAAAATACATATGCAGCTTATTATTAACCGCGCCGAACTATCCGAATCCGAAAATATCCGAATCCGAACCTCCCAATATCCGATCCGATCCGAACCGAGCCTCAACTATCCGATCCGAATCCGATCCGAAATGAAATTTCACTATCCGCACACCTTTAATATACACTGCAGCAGCTGTGTACCGCTGGGGGACTTGGCGGGGCAGAACGCTGCCGCGTTCCTTAATAGATCTGTTTTTACTCCATATGAATGAAAATGTAAATCGCACACCCCTAATGAGTATACATTTGATTGCAGTAAGGTCTACTAGTCTTGTCTTGGTAGAGCACGAGACTTTGGTCTCTGAGGTCCTAGGTTCAAATCGCACAAATCACCAATGGATTTTATCTTAGCGATAATGCCTCGACCCTCAAGTACTAGTCTAAAGTAATGTGTAAAATGGTTTCGGGCTAAGCCTAGTGTTTGAAGGTGGGGAATAAATAAACAAAAAAACTAGCCTTACCTCTCTCTAGCGATGCAGCTCTCTTCTCCTCCTGTTGTCTGTTATGCTGCAGCACCTGATGCAGCTTGCTGACCCAGTCCTGCAGCTCAGACTCCGACTCCGCAGCCAGAGTGTATGACTTGTGTCCAGCTGTCATCCATAGTTCAAAACAGTGCCTGCCTCTCTTGGTGTTCTGTAAAACACATCTGTTTGTATAGGAATATACAAAACGAACAACAAATTAAGTCAAATAAAAACATCATCAAGATCTCTTGCAAAATGGTTTTACTTTTGAATCTTTTTAATGTACAGTAATATATTTGAATATTGTTTTAAATAGATTTAAATTTACAATTTGCAAACATGGTTCTCCTCAAAACGTCAAGAGATATTGAACGACTACATTTTTTCTCATATCTTGTTACTATTTAAAAAATCTAAACTGTTTTATCCAGTGAGCGCTTTATTTCTAGTAAGAAGGTACCACAAATAAAACCTACCAGGAACTATGACTTTGCCTCTCATCTTAAAAAAATATCCACCTCCCTTCCATAGACTATAGTGTTATTAAACTCAACAAAAAGCAAAATTCATAAAGCCAGTATTTTTGGTGGGGGGGGGGGGGTCGGAATGTTCTTTAAAATAGAATCTGTAACGGCATTCTACAACATTGTGCTTCAGATCAATCCCAGCTCTCAGTTACGATGGCAATAACTTACATTATTCAGGGGATTTGAAAAAAGAGATTTGTCATTTGTTATTCTTATAAGTATAAGACCTATCTATTTTAGGCTAGTTGGTTTCTCATACTAAAATAGAAGTATTGCTTTTTCATTTGATGTTTCATCAATAACTGATCACTTTATTGAGACCAAGACACAGACACATTGTCGTTTATTTGCTGACATCATTGTCACAAGGTACTTTTAAACTTTTAAGGGGCTTCACAAACTATTTACATAGGTTGAGCCATGTGAGCATGATATTCAAGCAAAACATTTGCTCATTAGGGTAAACAAAAAGCTAAACAAGCAGTGACACTCCAAGGTCAAACTTAGACAGTCTGTCTCATTAAACATTACATCTTTCTGCTGATTTCACTTTGGAGAACTTATAAGTCCTACACAGACATAGGCCTATTAAATTGATTATCAAACATAATGAAATACAAATTTTTACCCTCAAGAATCAAGGAAGTTAAAACAATAACTTGTTACAATTATTTTAGTAATCATAAAATTGTTCTATTGAAAAAAGCTAGGTACTTTATAAGCGACACATACCCTAACAACTTCAGTACAAAAGTCCATGACAATGGTCACTTTAGCATCCCCTTTCTTCTCATCCTTGTGCAGTTCCAGAATGTAAGTGCCATCAACTTCTCTCCTGTAAACCAAGTGTCAAAATGAACCATAGAAAGTTTCAAGGTACCAAGCGGGTTTCAAACCATTAGCTATAAAAAAGCTTCAATAAGGGTTTAACTATAATCTAAGTTATTGCCACTAAAATTATTGTCCTCAAATTGTTGAAAATACCTTTGACACCAATCAGAAATCTCAAGATAATGAACTGGGTTTTTTTTCTTAATGAGGTTTGCCCTGTTTATCAAACCGTGACAAAAACACCCAAGACTAAACATACATCATAGAATATATTATTTGTTTTTACGTACAAATATTATCTGAGCATTTTTGTTTATATTTGAGTTTACAATATTAAAGTTAATTCACATAAATATACAATTGTTTTTGGCGAATTTCCCATCTAGGGAATATTAGCGAAATTCCCATATAGGGAATGTTAGCGAATTTTCCATATAGGGAATATTGGTGAATTTCCCATATATGAAATATCAGTGAATTTCCCATATAGGGAATACGCTAAGTACCGTACTCATGGTAAGACCTGGTCCCGGGACCGATTTACTTTTTGTTTTGAGGTCTCTAGAGGGAAAAACAACATCCGTTCAAATTCATATACACCTATTATATTACTAAATATATATAACTTATAAAAATATTAGTGATGGGTCGGTCATGATTTTGGCTAGGTACCGGTACCAACTTTGAAAAAGTGGTACCAACCCATCACTAATATATATTTATATATGTGTTCGTTAACATGATAAATACCGCAAAAATCATAGCAAAAATCATCCAATTTTGATTAAATTTTGTATAAACGTGTGAAACTACATTTTATTTTAACAAGTTTGCGAACCAGCATAAGCAGAACGGGTGTTTATGGGGGGTTTTATGGGGTAAAAATTGGTGTTTCCCATTTTTGACCCTAAGACAAAAAATGTTTCAAATTCTTACCACACCATATTGTAGAGCTTAAATAAAAAAATAATTTAGTATATTGAAGCGTTAGGTTACGGAGAAAATTCCAAAATATTGTAAATTTCAAATTCTCATGTTATTCTTATGGAGAATAAGTAAACTGTTGTAGTTTGCTTGTTTATGAACATATTTTGATCAAATCTGGAAAATGTATTTATTTCATACTATTAACATTTTGTATTTTTTTATAGCCTTGTTCAGTATAAAGATGTATTGCCAATGATAATGGTAGAGAAGCTTAGAGTAATTTGCATTGCGATAAGTATTAATTCTAGTCTTCAAATAAATTTAGTAGTTTATTTGTCATATTTGCTAAGTTGACAAACTGGTGTGTGTGGGTTTTTTCATTTTTCTGGTTCGTCTTTTTTATTGCAATTTCATTTTTAATGCCTCTTTCACAAGATAATGGCATTTATAGCAAAAACAAACCTTGTCTAAGCTTGTTTTTCCAATATAAGTAAAATAATTTTTAAACAAATCATATATAACATTTTTTAATCGAATCAGCTAATCATCTGCCAAATTTATTTAATAATTTACCTAAAGTTAATTTTACCTGAGGTAACAGTATCGACGTTTAAATGACTTGGACCCGATATTGACAAACATTCGGTCATTCCCCACTTCAGGACCTTTCATCAGATAACCTTGCTTGGTTATTCCATCGTGTTTTGGCGACAGCTCCTACATCAGTGAGAAACAAAAGTAACTTTTTAGGTAACCATGGACTTTTTGCTTGGTATAATATCCTATAAGACACAGCTTATCAAGAAATATGCCACAATAAAATTTGGAAAAACTTCCTTGGCCTTGAGAAAACACAAATACAATCTATAGATAAAATTATTATGTAACTCAGATCTTTTCACTTGACAAACAATTTTATTTAAATTTGATCCCTTTCCAGTCTAAGGTAGCCTAATCATCCTTTGTGTCACAAACTGAACTAAGTAAAGCTATATCAGATAACAATTAATTGTTTGAGCAACCATCAAGAAAGTTTTGGAGTCAATTGCTGTACTGCACTGAAATGCACGAAGCTTAGAAACCCGCTCAAATTATTATCAGTTTGGGTGGTATACATTTCTTACAGTGAGTTTTAGATAAATAGGTAAACAGTAGCGGCTGGTGTTCATAGGTGGTGGGAGGGCTCTGCATATTTTTATATATAAACGAAAGCCTAACATCATTCACGTTTTTCAAATAATTTTAAAAGATTTAATTCTTAAATTTGTAATACAAACACACATAGGCCTAGCCTACGATATTTATATATTTAAACTTGTTTCCAAGTCCAAGGCTCCTATTGTATTTAACTTAATTACAGTGTCTGCAAATGGGTCTGTCCTGAAAATAACGTTACCAAAATAATTATAATATTCTATAAAATATCTTAGGTATTAAGGAATAGAAAGCCAAAAAAGTAAAACCGCGCTTACGAAAACAAATTACATTTAAACTTATACCGGTACCTAAAAACATATTGTACTTCAATAATATTAATTAACCAGAAATGCATGGCCTACCTTTAACTAAACTGGATGTGAAATCAATTTAATAGAGTATACAATGTTAGTATTTTGCTTAAACACGCACGAACAGTACTTCTACTCTAGATCACTATTCATTAATCACTAAACATCAACACCAAACCAAAATAACATTTTGAGGTTAGCTCAGTTGTTTTCTAATTTCTAGTTTTAGAAATTAGATGGTTTGAGTTATGACAAACAGGTGCGCCAACATCAGTTCTACCCATCAAAACTGTAGCTTACCATACAGAATATCCTGATTGTGGTGGCTGCCCTGATTTAAGAGTGCGCGCGCAACTTTGGACTCTGCCCAAAAGCGCCTATACTAAAGCAATGGAATGACGTCATGGCACCCTCAGAGCGGTTTGGTTGTTCTGCCATAAGACTACATGTATTGGGATTGGGACGGTCTGGCCGCCGTCCTTATTAAGCAAGCGACGATCAAAATTTAGTCTTTACTGAATTGAATTATCCAATTATTTGATATATTTATGTTGTATATAGTTTGAAATACTCGTTAAAGTAAATTTAATTACATTTAACTGAATTATATCAATATTAAAATGTAATTTATTTATGTATTGTTGGGAGGGCGGCGTCCGAGAGTCCTTATGGGCTAGCCGCCACTGTAGGTAAACATAAATACTTTACCTCATCTAACTGATCGACATCAGTGTCAACTTCATAAACTTCGTCTTTTAACTCTTCAGACTTCAAAATCCTGAGAACAGCGACAATTAATTGTTTGTAGGTAATTACTAATAAGTAACACTTAAAGAATGAGACTTTATGTCCTTATATACATCTAAAACTATCACAGTTATAGGACACACTGTACATTGGAAATTATAAAAGAACACATTTCTTTCAACCAAGACAGTGACATAGCAAAGTCTCATGGCACTTAAAGTTATTAGGTACCACTTGGCAGAGGTTCTACTGAGGGAATTTGGGGGTGTAGAGTACTCAGGGCTAAGAGGGCGATCGCGCCATTTCCTTCCCCAGAAATTTGTATTTAAATTTGTAAGCCAGTTCTTAATTTGTAATAAGCTCTTCATTTATGCATGTCAATCTCTTATTAAAAACCCTTTACTTCTAAAAAGTATAACAGAAAGGGAAAATACTTGAACACAGTAGACTAGGGGTAAATTGCGCTTGTTTCTCTACCAAACATTTGTCATATTCCGCTTGGAGTTTATGTGATTGGCCGCTAGAAAGCAGCATTGGATGGAGTTATCACTTAGCTCCCTTTGCTACTAAATAGAATGATACATTTCCAGTTCAACCATGCAGTTATCTCTTTTTTTTTACAAAATGTCACTTATACCCCCTTGCTTTTAGGGGCCTCCTTTGGTATCATGATTAAATGGTAGTTTAACTGCCCTCTCTGATTTCACCCACTCTACAATAAGTAACTGACAAGCAATAATAATTGCCACACCAGTCCTGGAAAATTACCTTGACCTTGCTAAATCATCTTGTAACATAACTATTATTATATGGTTTTCAAAAGTAAAAAAGATTAAGCAACAACATTGATTTTAGATTGGTTCTGGGCTTACATTTTGAAATGGCTATAATAGGATTTCACTTACGGTACAAGGAAATAGATTGGATTTTTCAATACTAGAACAAAGCTGTAATTTTATAGCTTGGGGTTTTTCCAGTGTTGGGGAAGCTACTTTTAAAATGTAGCTAGCTACAACTACTGCTACATTTCCAAAAAAGTAGCTTAGCTACAGCTACACCTACAGTTCCGAAAAAGTAGCTAGCTACAACTACAACTACAATGAAATGTAGCTACAGCTACAATTTTAGCTACTTTTCCAAAGACGTTAATTTTTATTCCACGCACATTAGGTAAATGTAAAATTATTTGCAACTACATTTTTATTGAACAAACATTTAAAAAAATGTCAGTATTGGATCTAACATTACTTGGAAAACAAATAATTCCTAGATTGTATTTAATTTGTTGGCATTATAAACCTAACATTACAACAACAGAACCAAATAGTTGGGTGTCCCATCATATTTAGTAATTATTTTTAAATATTGCATTATTTTTAAGCATCTTAAAATGTAATTTTATTAAGTTCAAAGGACATACAACCAAACTATATTTTAAAAGCTAATTTTATTAATTTAATATAGATTCATTTATAGATGTTTTATATCAACAATTAAGACCAATAAAACTGCAAAAAGATGATTTAAAAATACTTTTTGTGTTACAGAGCCTAGCCTACTGAAATTGGAGTTTATTGCCTTTTTTTAATTTTAATGTTAAAAACAACATTGCTATAACTTTTAAAGTGATAAATTACTTATTCTACGAATAACACTTTTCAATGTCAAGAAATCGTCCTTTATTGTCATTATGCATAGGGCAAATTGTGCTTCAACCTAGTTGGTAGAGAAAACAGTATTCAGCAACTTATCCTGAAATCGGCTTTTAATTTAAACATGATGAAATTTGTAAAGTAAAAATAACATGTAGGCCTACTTGGCTATGTAACAAGTTGGCTATAGTAGGCTTGTTCTTGCAAGGACTAAACAGATATATTCATAATAATTGAACTTGGTATTCGTCTTAAACCATAGCCTCAGTCCTATACAAGAGCTGTTAGCAGGAGCAAACTATGCTATTTTTTCAATGTAAGTTTCATGTTATATGGAGATTTTTTCATTACAATTATCATGTAGTCTAGGCATATCTTAAATCTCATCAGGTAATTTCCTCTTTGCTAATTTAGTAAACCTTTGAAAAATCTTCGTAATCTAACCAAGGAAGGGCTTGTGATGATAAACCACAATCACCAGCTGAAGCAAAGGTTGATAGACCAGCTTTCTCATTATTTCAAGGTGTGTTGGTTTCCATTAAACCCCAAGTTGAAGCATTATCGATATAATAAAGAAACTAAATTGATTACTAATTCCCCTGTCCTGTCAATCACTTGCAAGCATTCAATTCAATAGCTTCTCTTGTCACCGGTACCGTTTAAACGTCGTCTGCATCTAGCGATTTTATTTTATCTGACAGTAATCATAGAGTAGTAAATTAAGGAAATGAGAGCCAAAAATGTGGATAACACTCATTTAATGGCCTCTATGTCCACACAACGTTGTAATAGGGAATGAAACGGCTGCAACCAGCTGTTTGAAGCCAAGAAAGTAGGCCTAATTTTTTTGAAAATCTCAGTTTGAAAGAGGTTGTTTCACGTAAGGTTGAGGTTATGATAAAAATCACTATCTCAAACAAATGTTAATGTAGCGAGAAAAGTAGCTAAAATTCCGCTACAACTACTTAAAAAATGTAGCTAGCTACAGCTAAAGCTATAAAATCTTAAAAGTAGCGTAGCTACAGATAACGCTACAAAAAAAGTAGCGCGCTACTTCCCAACACTGGTTTTTTCTTCATTTAAAACAAAATGGTTTGCATTAACCACTGTTGAAAACACACTTTTGTATTAACGTTAACTTAATGTACTAAATTACAACATTTATTCAATGGCATTTTTCTTACTTTGGAAGTTCTAAATAGGTCCCAGAGTATGCACTGTACTTGTAATGTATCAGAGTCCAATTGGACGTATAACTTTTGAGACACTCCTTTACAAATAGGTTACACTCCTTGACCTCATCACCGTGGGGAACATTAGGGCTGACAGTCCGGAACTTACGAGGCAATACTACATGCTGAAACATCATTGACAATTTAAAATACCCTCATCACAGCAAACCTACACATTTAGTGCAAATGTTTAGCTATTAGCCTATTCAAACGGTTCACATTGTGAAAATAAACTTTATCGACACAAACTAATTGAAATATATATAACACTGGGTCAACACTTACTTAAAGTATTTTCTGCAAACAGGAATACAGATAAAAATGTTGATTTTACAGTAAACTTTGTCAGTTTTGAAAGTGCACAGAATACAGATAAATAAAGAAGTGCTGGTACTGTACAAAAAACAAATAAATTTAATTGTAATTGCATTTTACAGCAATTAGTTAATCTTACATTAGAATAACAATAGGCCCTACTGTTAATATCTTAGTAAATACCTGATGTGTAAATTAGCAAAAGTAGTCATGCTATCTTTTATTTTCGACTTTTATTTTTCAAATAACAACATTCTTGCACACACATTTAATGAGCCATCTGCTTAGTAGGGACCATCTGCTGGGTATACATGGTCATGAAGGCCACATTAGAACTACAGTAAGAAAGTTTTGTATGACTTTCAAATGCAAATTTCAAAGTACCCAGTTTTTACATTTGATAAGAGCCTCTTAAAAAGAAGAACTGCTTACAATCATCCAGATTGACATGGTAACGGATGGGGCTTCTACTAAAATACAAAAAAAATGGTTTTATCGGTGGGAGCCATTGTTAATGTTTTTACAGCCTTCCTTTGGATGTCTGCTTAGTTAACCTATATTGTACATTATGAAAAATTACAGATTATTGCAAGCAAAGTGATGACAAGGTGTTAAACTTCCTAAAAATGCAACTTATGCCTACTCAGAATTTTATTTATAAGTTACCAGTATGCTACAAGATTTCAATGCCACCATTGAATAGGCTATCAATAAACTTAACACAATAGTTAAACACAGTCAATGTAGCCTACTTACCGAAACATCGTCAGATGGGTAAAGCAAGAGTTCTCTCTGAGGGTCATTCTGAATTAGGGTTTTATTTTTCAGTATAAAGTTCTCAAAGTCAATTGGTTCAACAAGTGTGGGTTTGTTCTGAAAAAAAACATTTTTTCTATAAGATCTTGATAATACCTACATAGTGCAGGTTTCCTATAACAATAGACCATTACCGACTGTAGCTTAATTAATGACAGGCTAGTAAGTTACCGGTAACTAGTTTTTAATGGTTTTTGTTTCATTTCCAATAGTAGCCCTACATTAAAAAAACTTGCACTGTCACGGAGGTAGGCTAAGGAAAAAAAACAATTCCTTCTCTCAACCCAAATCTAAATTATAGAATATAAGGTATTAGTATAGAATATCGCTTAGGCTACTCTGAGAACAAACCCAGGTTGCAAGACCACTGTAAATACTCACCCATTTTATTCAATACTATTTAGAGGGAACAAGGGACACTTTTTGATGGCGCATATCCCAAAGTTGTCGCCGGATTTTGGAAAGCGCCATGCTCCTCCGACGACCCTTTCATACTGTCACCAAGTTAAGTGCTCCCATTAACTCAATATAGGGTTGCCATATTCCTTGATTTTCCCGGAGATTACCGGATTTTGAGGTTCAAAATTTAGCTCCGGGGGATTTCTGCATAAAGTGAGACGATCTCCTCTTTCTTACTCTGTATTAAAATATACATTATATACCGGCACTTTTGAAATAAAATAAATGTTTGCGTTCCCAAATATTGTTATACAATAACTGAAAAATGCAACTCTCAAATTCTATACTAATGTTTATTTATTCCTAGGTTTCACTTTGGCCAGCAACATCCTTAGTTTATCTTTACCGTCTTTTTCATTGCTCCCAGTCCTTTAATTCACGTCCACCCTCTGCCTGCCAGCCCGAAGGTATCCGTGTTCACTAGCAGACGGAGAGTGTTTTGTTGACTTTATTCAGTTATTCGTTATTTTTAGTGAGATGTGACAAGCGGTGCATCATTTAATGTTTTCGCGTACTATTTGAATATTGACAATGTAGCACGAATATTAAACAGAAACGGTATGTTTCAACTAATAAATATAAATTAATTACGTCACAACCGAATGTCTATGGGCTAATAGCGGTGACAACTGGTTTGAATGTTTGTTTTTTACAGTTCCATTTAAATAAAAGGTAGGCTTATAAAAACGTGTTTACTTTCGGGCCAGTGACATCATTTTGTACAGTTTCTCCTACCCTATCTATTTTTGCTATGTAGGCCTATAATTTTTATCCACTATTATAGTGGGGGCCGCCAGCTAAAATCTCCTCTTTTTTACACATTACTATATGGCAACCCTAATTCAATAGAACTAGCCTAGGAATGTCCAGCGACTGCCAGACATAGCGTGTAGCCAGGCATAAAACCAGCCAGTGGCAAAACAGATTTTTTCGGGCCCCCCTCCCATGAGTTATTTTTAGACCACCAATACAACATAATCAAACACCCTCCTCCTGAGTTTTTTTGGACCACCGATACAATGATCAAACAGTTGTTTTATCATAAATTGAGTACCGTAGTAAATAAATTAAGGGTAATGTTTCATAAAATGACGTGTTAAGTAGGAAGTTATTTCAGTCATGGTTTGATGATAAAGTTGCATCATTATATATTATAGCCTATATCTAAACTTATTTAATACGCAAGCAGGTTTTTTGTGACAATTACTCCTCCGAAACCACTGAACCGATTAACATGTTTTTGGTGTCATTGGAAAGAGCGTAACGTGAAGTTGTACAGGAAACTTTCTTTTTGGGACCCTTTAAAGTTTCATGTTTCTCCATAAGATTAACATGGGAAACAAATATTGTTATGAAACTCTAGCTGTTGTCAGAAATTAAAAGTGAGAACAAGAACATACTCAAGAACATTCCTGCTAGATAGCGACACTATACTTTACCAACTGCAACTTGGGTAGTGCTGCTACCTATCAGAATCACTTGGTACTATGCCCAAAGCCAGTTTTATTACAGAACATTGCTATCCAGTATAACTACTGTTGTTTTTACTGCAATTCAGTGTATCAGCGGCAATGTTACACAGCGGTAAGCACTAGTTCAGCTCCTGGCGCCGTCCCCTCATCTAGCGCTCAGCAGCGAACGTGTTAAGTATAGGCCTAGACCCTAAACATGTTTTACCAAGTCTGTTCAACATAGGGAGCAAGTTAATTTAGGCTAGGCTGCTTTTAACACTGTGTTGTAGCCTATGTAAAAATATCCAGGAGCCTCTAACAAATTGTATATGCATACAGTAAATTACATGTTTAAGGGGTTTCCAAAGATGCGGTACTGGTCTTGTTCCACATGAAAATATTTATAAATCATCTCGCCCATATGATTATTTTATAAGTACTGTAAATACTTACATGATCGGTGCTCTCTCTAACTACTTGAGACACAGTTTCCCTAAGTTGAGCTGCCATTCCAGGCTTTCCCAGACTGCGAGAAAATTTTCTTTCACTCATGGTATTTATGAGCACAGACACATTTATGAATAAAATAAAATACCTATAATCTAATGAGAATACTGATTTTTACGACTATGTTTACATTCTGAGGAAACCTTCATGAAGTAAGTAGCCATTTGCACCTGTCATGTGGCAAGTCTACCAACCTCTGTCCGAAAATATCCTAAATCCTAACTCTTGAAAATATAAATAGAAAATACTCTTTGCATTCTTATTACTTATAGTATAGATTAAACTACGCTCCCAGGACAAACTCCAATCATCTCTAGACAAGATTAGTAAATGGTGCGATGAAAACGCTATGGAGCTGAATTTTGTTAAGTGCCTCGTCATGTTTTTCAGTCGCAGAACCATACAACTACAGCATAAACGATGTCAGTCTAAAAGTGGTTGATAGGGCCAGAGATTTGGGTGTCATAACTACCCCACCCTCAGTCCCAATGAGCATATTAGCTTTAGCCAAATATCTACAAGGGCTTCATCCACGGCAACCTTTAACTACAGGCCGCGGCCTGGTGGAATTGGCAACGTCGCAAGTAGGGTTGTTTGTGACAGATGACCCATAAGATAACATGGCAGACAGGTGACATCAGCTTATTAATTCGCACTTTATTGATTTTAATTTTAATTTATGAACATAAATCATTAAAATATTGAAAATAAAACAAACAGAATTGAAAACCGAAACAATATGAATTAATAACCGATATCTGTAAATACAGATAGCTGAGTCAATATTGTCACAGTCCAGTAACCAAGCTTTCGTAAATACACAAATACCATTAGCTGCTGCTAAACTAAACTGCTGTTACAACCCCACTTGCGACGTTGACACTTCGAAGGCCGCGGCCGCGGCCTGTGGCAACTCCGGCCAGATTATCTCTGCATTGACCAGTCTATGTAGGAACATCCCAGATCAAAGATTTTCCTTCTAGACATCAGCGTATGAAGATCCAAGATATATGCCAAGGCACTCACTGGAACATCTGCTTAGAGGTATCCAAGGCGAAGACGCACCAGGCGGATAAACCGAGCCTGTATTGACTGGAGTCTTTCTTGAAGATAGAGGTGGTAGGGGGTCCACACTACTGAGCAGGGTACGATGCCATAGCTTATAATGTCATAGCTTATAATTGCGAATATGTTGCATAGCTTATAATCTTGAAAATGTGGCATAGCTTATAATGGAAAATTTAAATTGTTCCATAGCTTATAATCGTAGAAATGTGGCATAGCTTATAACGGTTTTCTTAAAATGTGGCATAACTTATAATGGTATAGCTCAAATGTGCTGCAGCTTATAATATCTCGTTTGTTCTATAGCTTATAATTTTAAAAACGTGGCATAGCTTATAACGCGCGGGAATTACGTCATAGCGGATGGGACAGCTGATCGATCCTGAGTAGACAACAAAATTATCGTGCAATGGTCCTCAAATTATCGTATGGACTAGCAGCCGCTACTCGGCAATAAGAAGTTGCGTTAAGTGCAGCCAACGTAGCAAAACCAAAAGTATTTCAATTTTTTTCTACTCCTGGACGACATATGTAATAGATGTAGCCTATATATGAAATGGTTTTTTGTTGAATAATAGAATAACTTTTTGTATCTGCTGTTTTACTTTAATTACGTAAGCTGAAATATATTATCATAAGCTTGATGTTGCTCGTGTTGAAATCAGAAATCAGAAATCAGAAATATTTATTTGTCATTGGACATTACAAAAATGCATTGACAATTGTCATGTGTATATAGCATGGCTACAGTCAGGCTAGACATTACAACTAACATGTCCAATATGTTAATTTTTTTTTTGTGTCAGCTCTGTGGATTACCAACAGTATGGAGTGTGATTTAACAATAAATACATTTTGTAAATAAATATGAAAATTTAACAAAGAATAAATTATATGAACCAACAACAAAATACCTGCTTATTTATGCTATGCATGATAACTATTGTATAATATTTATTTTGTAATATTGTGTAATACCGGTGTAAAAATACTTTTTCATAGATAAAACCGTAGACTATGCAACATAAGTAGACTTCTCATCCCATTGTTGATTTTGAAGCTTGTTTTTCGTGTCTAGTTCATGTATGTCGACACTGATCGCTAGTGTAAACGAAATATTGTTTCTATTATATTAGGGTAATTTTAAGATTTTTGCTTTACGGTTTGGTTAGATAACTAGGAGACCAGTTTTTTTTTTATGATTATATAGTTTTATTTGGTCAAATTAGGTTTTAAATAACTGAAATAACAATCAAGAAACATATTGTAAAAAAAACACAACCTCTACAGTCGGCATAGAATAACAATAAAATTGCCTTCAGCTTTTCAACAAGGATGACAAATCTTCTAAGGGGCCCTTGGTAAAGACAAAGAGCAAGGAGATAACAACAAAAAGCTGGCTAACAAAAGGCATTATAATAGCAAGTAGGAAAAAGAGAGAAACTACATAAGTTGAGCAAATTATCAAATGATGTCAACTTTATCCAATATGTTAGATCTTATAAACTAATTAAAAAAAAGGTTGTACAGTGTGCTAAAATGAAGTTTAATAATAAAAGAATTAGTTGTGCAGAGAACAAAACTACAGTTGCTTGGTCAATTCTCAAGGAGGAAACTGGTAACAGGAAGCAGGATTTTAATTTTAATTTAAAAGGAATCCAGAAATCAAATAAAATAATAAAAGACCCAAAAGTAATTGCAGACCTTTTTAATGATTTTTTCTTGCACACCAGTGAACAGCTTAATCTAATGGGAAATATGGATAAAGTGAATAAATATTTAACTAATGCTGGTACAAATTGTACTGACTTCTTAGATTGTTTTAAATTAACTACCTCAAGTGAGATTAGGTCCATAATTAGTGAATTGAAAAATTCCAGATCCTCAGGATGGAATGGCATTCCCTCTTTTATTTTAAAAATTTGTAAAAGCAGCATTGTTGAGCCTTTGTCATACATCATCAACATTTCTATTAATAAAGGCATATTTCCAGATTTACTGAAATATAGTATTGTTCGTCCAATCTACAAAAAAGGAGATAAAACACAGCTTGAGAATTTCAGACCAATATCCTTATTGCCAGTTTTCTCCAAGGTTTAAGACAAATTAATCTGTAATAGACTAGTATCATATCTTGAAACCATCAACATTCCTTGTAGTAATCAGTTTGGATTTAAAAGGGGTTGTAACACTTCAGATGCTCTCTTTGAGGTCTTGAATTACATAGCAAGTGCGTTGATGGATCACAGTATGCCATTGGCATTTTCTGTGATTTGTCAAGGGCATTTGACTGTGTCAATCGTCAGTCAATCACAATATTTGATTGCACAAACTTCAGTTTTATGGAATTAGACAAAAAGCTTATGATTTGGTGGAGTCGTACTTGTTGGGTAGAAAACAAAAAGTTCAACTGAATTACTCTTAACTATTAAGGCTTCAAAAATGTCACTGAAGGTGTTCCCCAGGGTTCAATAATGGGTCCGTTGTTGTTTCTTATTTATGTTGATGACCTCTTGAAACAAAATCTTAAGTCAAAATTGGTAATATATGCTGATGATACTACTGCGGTATTAAAAAATAAAAACCCTGATATTTTAAAAATTGAAATTAAAAATGATCTTGATCTTATGACTGAATGGTTTCTGGCCAATAATCTTAAACTTAACAGAAATAAAACATATTGTGTGAACTTCCATTCTAATAGCATAAAAAGTAGACAGATTGACTATAACCCGTTAGAAGACACATTAAGTAAAATTCAATCTTGCAACCTTTTAGGAATAAAATTAGACTGAACTCTAACATGGTCTGATCATATAAATCAATTGGAATCTAAGCTTAATGCAGCATTTCACGTTACTTTAGTGCTTTCAAAATTAATAGATGAAAAAACTCAGATAATGGTATACTTTGCATATGTGGACTCTAACATTGGCTATGGTATTGAGTTCTGGGGAAATGCCACTGACAGTAAAAAATATTTAAAATACAAAAGAGAATTATAAGAGTTATTGCACAAGCTAATCCAAGAACATCTTGTAGAAATTTGTTTAAAAGAATGAAGATTTTACCTGTGCCCTCTTTGTATATATTCAACACTTTAATCTTTGTCAAAAAACATTTTTCTATTTATGAAGAAAAAATAAGTAACTCCCAATACAGCTTTAGGCCCATGAGCTCTGTGTTGCAGTACCCCATACATAAATCTGCTGCTTATGAAAAGAGTACTTTTTATATGGGTCTCAAACTGTATAATAAGCTTCCTTTATCACTGAGAGAGGTAGAATCATTTAAAAAGTTCCTGTTACACTTACTGTCTTACCTGTTACACAATTGTTGTTACAGAATTGAGGATTTTTTATCAGCCTGATTGTAGTAAACATAACTTATAGACATTGATATAACTTATTTGTAAACTTTTCTAATAACCTAACTTATTTTATACTTGTTTTTCAATACTGTTCAATACTGTTAATAATTTATTCTATTATGTTTATTACTATATTTATTATTATGTTGCTTTTATTCTATACTATTATTATATTTTGACAATTTACCTGCCTGCGTGCAGAAGCACTCCTTAGGCGTTATGTGATGTATTTTAATAAATAAATCACTGACTATGTATCAATACCAATTAATTATATCAAAATGGATACAAAATGTACTTATTAGTATCTGAATCTGAAAACATGTGCTCAAGAACAGGAAATGACAAAACATAAAATAAAATGTAACGGCTTGTACGACCCACTAAGAGTAGGTAATTATAACACTTACTAGGTTGTCAGACACAAAACACTTGGAATCAGAGAGAATACGGATGAGTTTTTTTCCAAAATGCGGACAAATTGAATTTTGGTTGAACTAAGACGTGAAATTTTGGGAGCGGTATGTATAAGTTGGTGAGGATGAAACGAGTTTTTCCTAACTTAATTTAATTCCAAACGCGTGGCAATTATATCCCTGCGGGATATAGGCTTTAGGGTTTGTTGAAAATTAAATTTTTGCCAACTAACACAGCAAACTACAAATTGATTTGCACGACTCCACTTAACAACTCACCCCACGCATAGGATGGTTGGAGAAACACTGGTCATATAATAA